AGGCTTATACTATAATTCCGATGATTTCAGGCCACTGGTAGAGAGCTGGAAGAAGCATGGAACGTAGTTTTGGGTTTCGATATCGCATGAGTAAATTTGTTACCGGGGTGTATGTTGTTGGTATGAGTGATAAATGTATCTGAATCATCGCTACTTTTATTCCATTTCATACCCATATCATCTATGAATCTGAACCAGGAAAGTGTTGGTTACCATTGCAGTTCCATTAATTTGTAGGTAATGATCTCAATTGAAGATAAGTTGTTGCTCTTCTTTTTCTTCCCAAAGACAAATAGAAAAAGCATCTTGCTTAGTTCTTTAATTCACTTCAGGTATATATTGATAATGTTCTGGCAATCAATAACACACATTTCAATGAATGCTTACATCTCATATATGTGAACATGAAATTAATGATAATACCGAAAGAAGAAGGTCTGCTTCATGTCTTGATCTTTTCCTCGAATTTGACACAGATGGACGACTTCAAACTAGAATCTTTGACAAACGTGATGATTTCAACTTTCGAATTGTCATCTTCCCGTTTCTTTGCAGTAACATACCCTCTGCTTTATCATATATTGTTAACATATCTACGCTTGTGTGTGTTCAAAACGGACGTCATGAACAGGGGTGTGCTCCTTACGCAAAAACTGCCCTTACAGACTTATGAGGAAGAACGACAGAAATCGACACTACATAGGTTTTACGTTCACCATCACAAAATGTTGACCGATACGATGTGTCAGTGTCTCATCTTACTAGCGACATATTTTCGGTCTCAGATCATTAGATATCAGTGTTGTCGTTTGGTCTGTTTTACCGATTGTGTCCTATTCCCAATTGTGACATTTTGATTGATTGTGAATTCTCATGGCAGGTGATGCATGTATACCATGAAACGCTTTGTCGACGCGTCTGCCTCATTTTGGAGTTTTACGAGATTTGAACATCAGTAAATCGCGGTCGATTTAATTTGCCCTTATTGTTGCCTTTTTCTCAATTTCACGACAGAAATTTACTGAAATATAAGGATTTTCCATTCAAATGGTGTATAGACACTGCAAGTTAGGCGGGAAAAGTTTCCCTCTTCGGTCATCGCACTACTATTTTGTATTATAAGATATGTTATAAAACATAATGTCTGGATTCCTAGAAAAAAAAGTTTGAAGATACATATATATGATCAACAAGACGACATAAGTTAAAAAAAACCCAGACAAACTGATGACTAATAAAAATTAAAAAAACAATGAAAATAAACCCACACACAAAAGAACAGAAAACCAAAATCACATATTTCCAAGATTTCAAAGAGTAAATATATTTACTTACATTTATGGTCCGCTAAAGTCAAAATAAAAACTAACACATGTTATGATGATGCAGGCCACAGATGTGACAGTGTATGTTTCAAAATCAATCATATCAAAAGATACATGTATAAAATTTGCATACACTACAATTATAAGTACCAATTGTGAATTTAAATATACAATACTTTCATTACAATCTGAACCAATGAGCATATTATGTAATAAGTGAAAAGACAAATGTCATTAATTATTAAAATTGAAATTTTTGAAAAGTCAATCAATTTAGAGTTATCTCCCCTTGACTATAAATTTGTTAATAATAGTGTGACATCTCAACTTTTGGGAGCAGATACCGCCTCTTTTCGTCACCTTCAAACAATGAAAGAAACTCTTTTCAATGTGGAAGTAGGGGATGGAGGAGGGGATTAAAATATTTTATGAAATTGAGTGTCACCAAATTTCTGTACGTGTTCTTCCTTTGGAGCTATTTTAAAAAAAGGCTGCATATTAAAACATGTGCTTGAATTAGCGCCCCAATATCAATTACCAAATTCCAAAGAGTTTCAAGTCAGATAAGCACCTATGTACTGTACAAAACTATTTTCTACATATTTCTAACATTTACAAAACATGATATCAAAAGACTAAATACAATTAAAAGTTACAATCTTTCATTGTACCATAAAGTCACTTATGCTGCACATAAGTGTATTTATGGTCCGCTAAAGTCAAAATAAAAACTAACACATGTTATGATGATGCAGGCCACAGATGTGACAGTTTATGTTTCAAAATCAATCATATCAAAAGATACATGTATAAAATTTCATACACTACAATTATAAGTACCAATTGTGAATTTAAATGTACAATACTTTCATTACAATCTGAACCAATGAGCATATTATGTAATAAGTGAAAAGACAAATGTCATCAATTATTAAAATTGAAATTTTTGAAAAGTCAATCAATTCAGAGTTATCTCCCCTTGACTCTAAATTTGTTAATAATAGTGTAACATCTCAACTTTTGGGAGCAGATACCGCCATGACGTATGAAGCTCTAATGGAGCTAAAATCGCTGCCCTAAAGTAAACCTGCATCAAACTTTTAGATAATGCCACACTTTTTAAATCTATTATATGCACTTTGAACACCAAGACATTATGCTACTTCTGTTTTATTTTCATGCAATTGTCATTTCATAATACTTATACTTTATTCATAACCATCCGCCTTCCACGTGTCTTTTATTTAAGCTTTTGATGTCTTATTCTATTGTTTTCTTCCATTTCGTCTAATTTAATGCGAACTTACTTTCCATCGCTAGTCAATAATTTCGACTCTCATTTCTTTCATTTTCAAATTGTTGTTTGAACACAGTATTATATGGTCTATATTGTTTCGGAATAAAGTTCCCCTGAAACGGTAATTATATCATTTCAGCGTTCAAATACCCCTCCCAAACCAGTGTTTACCATTGTACCTACTCAAAATACAACCTTGTCAATATATACACTTATGTGCAGCATAAGTGACTTTATGGTACAATGAAAGATTGTAACTTTTAATTGTATTAAGTCTTTTGATATCATGTTTTGTAAATGTTAGAAATATTAGAAATATGTAGAAAATAGTTTTGTACAGTACATAGGTGCTTATCTGACTTGAAACTCTGGAATTTGGTAATTGATATGGGGGCGCTACTTCAAGTACATGTTTTAATATGCAGCCTCTTTTTCAAATAGCTGCCGAAGGAAGAACACGTACAGAGTGTCACCAAATTTCTGTACGTGTTCTTCCTTGGTGTTCAAAGTGCATATAATAGATTTAAAAAGTATGGCATTATCTAAAAGTTTCGCACTTGCAAAATGCAAATGAACCTTATGTTACCAAATGGTTAAATGTATGCACTCACAAAAAAGTTATGAAATACTGAGTTAAGAGCGTGGCTTTCTTTCCAGCTCGTCTTCTGTAGCATATACCTAAAGAAATTTGTAAGTTTGCTTTCGAAGTATATTCTTTAGTTTGCTCAAGAAGAACAATTATAGAAAATGACATATAGTTTCAATATAGCAATAGAAAATGACATATAGTTTAAATATAGCAATAGAAAATGACATGTAGTTTAAATATAGCAATAGAAAATGACATATAGTTTAAATAAAGCAATAGAAAATGATATATAGTTTAAATATAGCAATAGAAAATACCCATATATAAATGAGTGAACAAACTATACACTAAACTTATAAATTCAAGTCACAATGCAAGAGCAAACTTCTGAGAGAAAAATGAAGTTTTAACAAAGCTAAACATATTAAGCTGAACTGTAGGGCATACAATTCCAAGATAGTTTTAGTAATATGATTATATTTGCTTTTAATTTTAGTCCTCCGCGCAACGCGTTGCGGGGGACATAGAAATACCGGGCGTCCGTCCGTCCGGTCTTGTTGGCGCTCTCACTTGTACAATTCTTGCCAGATTTTTATGAAACTTATATCATAGGTTTATATCAGCAATGTTTTGGACAAGTTCGAAAATCAGTGCCGATTATTTTTTTTTAAAAGAGTTATGGCCCTTGGAAACATTAATTATATGGAAAATTGCATCGTTAGCACTCTCATGTGTTCAATTCTTGCCAGATTTTTATGAAACTTATATCATAGGTTTATGTTAGTAATGTCTTTGATAAGTTCGAAAATCAGTGACAATCAATAATTTCTAAAAGAGTTGTGCCCTTGGAAATATTAATTATATGGAAAATTGCCTTTTGAGCGCTCTAATGTGTACAATTCTTGCCAGATTTTTATGAAATTTATATTATAGGTTTATATCATCAATGTCTTTGACGAGTTCAAAAATCAGTGCCGATCAAATATTTTTAAAAGAGTTAGGACCCTTGGGAATATTGATTATATGGAAAATTACATTGTCAGCATTCTCATGTGTACAATTATTGCCAGAATTTTATAAAAACTATATCATAGGTTTATATCAGCAATGACGGTCTTTGACACTTTTGAAAATAAGTGCTGATCAAATATTTAAAAAAAGTTATGCCCCTTGGAAATATTGATTATACTGGAAATCACATTGCATTTGCTCTGAAGCCTTCATCTCTCTAAGATATTAATAAAAAGTGCTTTATATTGTTATTTCCCTTGTACCTTGGATAGATAAAACATGTGCAACGCGGGGGACATTGAAACTCTGTTCTTTTATTATTTTATATGATATATAAGGCCATGCAGTAACTGTTGTTAACAAGACAAACTGTAGTATTAAAAACACAACGGAAATCAACAATGAGCACAATTAACTGCAGATCGATGGATACTCAATTTAAAACTATATTTAAAGAATCATTGTGTTTGCATTATAGAACACTATGTTGTCGTAATGTTGTACATAAGTAATAGAAGGTGAATCACGTGATATTGTTAAATTGGACGCAAAACAATATTTATAAAATAGAAATTACGATATGTTTATTTTAATTTATATGTGATGTCATAGAAATATTTCTGGCATTGTCGCAGTCGTAAATTTCGTTTCCTGGTTAAAACCGGCCTACATTTGAAGATATAAATAGTAATTACGTATTAGAAATAGGGAGTGGCTAAGGATTATTCAGACTATAAAAAGTCAAATACCGGCAAAATTGCACGTAACTCGACGGGAACTGATACGGGAAAGACTACTAACAATTATAATGATTAATCAGGCTAGTCGATTTTTAACAGTAAATTTATATAAAAGTACCATTTATATTACGTTATTGTACAAATAATTATAAAATGTACAATCGCGATTTTTTTTTATTCAAATGCATGAAGTTCAATATTGAACGGATTGGATAATAAAACAAACAATGTGATAATGATCCAGAACCCAGGCGCTTTGGGAATGGACCCCCCTTTTTGTAAATATTTTGTTTTATGTTTTAATTATTTTTTTGGGGAAATATTCTGTAATATTTTAACTTATTATCATTTATTTAAAAAATGAAAACAACAAGTTATAAATTTCATTAGTCCGAAGCGCTTTTCTGGATTAATGGGTTCATTCTCTTTTCGATGTGGTTTATAATTACAGTACATTACATTTGTTTACGCTCTATTATTCAATAGTGGAAAACAATAAGATTTACGTTACAAGCTAAGATGAAAAATTCTAAATTAACTCAAAATCTGCAATCACAATCTTTACGACTTTTGCAGTTATATCAAAACTTTAGATTATTCTATGCTTTACAATACTATTCTCCATACTCCACTGAAAGATCGACAATTGTGTCTCATTAAAAGAGATTTTTCTGCAAAAATGGAAAACGTAGATACAAATTCCTTGTTTTAGATCATCAAAACAAATATTTTACTTTGTGAAGAACCACACTGATTTCCACAACAAATACACCGGAGATGATGTCATCAAAATGCTGGACTTTGTGATCGACAACACAACATTTTTGTGAGTTTGGTGGATTATCATTTCAACAGACAGTCGGTATTCCAATTGGTACTACTTGTGCAAAACTATTTACCGACATATTTTGAACTAATATGAAGCAGAATTCATACAAATACACCGGAGATGATATCATCAAAATGCTGGACTTTGTGATCGACAACACAACATTTTTGTGAGTTTGGTGGATTATCATTTCAACAGACAGTCGGTATTCCAATTGGTACTACTTGTGCAAAATCATTTACCGACATATTTTGAACTAATATGAAGCAGAATTCATATAGAACCTTATAAAAGACAAAACAGAAAAGCATCTTGCAAAGTTCTTAAATTTCAGTGTCAGATATATGCATGATGTCCTTTCACTCAATAATTAACCCACATTTCAATAAGTGCTTACATCGTATATCCCAGTTAACTTGATATTAAGGATACTATAAGAACTACAAGGCCTGCTTCATATCTTGATTTTTTCCTCAATATTGACACAAACGGACGACTTCAAACAAGAATATATGACAAACAGGTGATTTCAACTTACCGATTATCAACTTCCCATTTCTCAGCATTAACATACTCTTTGTCCCGTCGTATGGCGTTTACATATCCCAGTTGGTACGGTTAGCTCGTGTATGCTCGCATTTACGGAATTCACTTGTAAGGATGTGTGTGCTCCAAAAGAGATATGAGGAACAACGACTAAGATCGACACAACATAAGTTTTACGGTCGCCATCACGAATTGGTTGACTGATACGATGTGTCAGTATCTTAACTCACTATCAACATGTTTTCGCGGTCTCGGATCTTTAAATACCAGTATAGTCGATTGATCTGTAACTCTACCGGTTTATTTGTGTGACATTTTGACTGAGTGTTCATTTGCATGGCGGGTGATGCATTCAATCTAGGAGAAGCTTACGATGTCGACGCTCCCGATCTCGTTCCTTTTGGAGTTCATGCGATTCCCTCAATTTTTAACCGGATTTTCGAAAGAAAAAATGGTTATTGATTTGGGGATGTACGGCGGACGTGCGGGCGGACGGGCGGCTGGCTGTCAAACAGTGTGCGTTCATTAACATGAAATCGCTTTGACGAAATCTTTTCAAATTTAGATATGTTGTTTCCTGTGACTAAATGAAAGTCAAGTTCAATTTTCACGATTTTAGCTGTCCTCGTTGTTGAGTTGTAGACCTTTCAGTAGCAAAAGTGATTCTTATTATATGATTTTGAGTTATTTCCCTTTGAACAGAAATTGTGTAATTAATAAGTAATTTCTATGTCATTTGGTCTCTTGTTTTTTTTTTGGAGTTATTTCCCTTTGAACAGAAATGGTGTAAATTATAAGTCTATCAATGATTGTATCTGTTAAATTAATTTTAGTCAGGAGTTGTCAAAAATTTCTTTATAACTATTTTTTTAAAGTTGTGTGTTTTGAAGGTAGATTTCACAGTTGTTATGTGGTATTTTCTTTTTGTTGTGTGTGTTAATGTTTAATTAACCGAATTTTCGAAGGAAATATCGGTTATTAAAATGGTGATGTACGGCGGGCGGCTGGGCGGACGGACTGGCGGCTGCCAAACAGTGTCTGTACAATAATATGAAAACGATTTTACAATTTTTTTTCAAATTTAAATATGTTGTTTCCTGGGACTTAATGAAGGTCTAGTTCAATTGTCAAGATTTTAGTATTTCTCATTTTTGAGTTATCGCCATTTTTAATATCCAAAAGTGGAATTTTTAAATATTTTACTCTTGTTATCATGTTATGACTTGTCTTTTCTCACAATAAAAATTGAAGTGACAGATTTATTTGAAAATTTTCTATTTCCTAAGTGGTGATGATTATAAGCTATGTATATAATTATTATGTATATAATTAATTATATGATAATCATTGGAGTGACAGATATATTTGAAAATTTTCTGTTTCCTGATAAGATCTGTAGGACTGTATATATAAAGTTTGAAATTTACTAGTAGGACTGTATAAATGATGTTTGAAATTTACTGTTCATTATTAGACATTTTGTAGATAATTAAGTCTCCCTAAACCATATATATTCTTACCCCCACTCCCTTTAAATTTGAGAATGTGCTTTTATCTTGTAAACTGTCGAGATCCCCACCCCTAAACCATATATATTCTTGTATGGGACAATAAAACAAATCAAATGAAATATTGGGGGAGTCCCCGGGTTCACCCCCACTCCACTTCTTTTTGAAAACTTGTGAACTGTCAAGATCCCCACCCTGAAACCATATATATTCTTGTATGGGACAATAAAACAAATCAAATGAAATTGAAGGGCATTCACCTGGGGTAGCCCCCTTCCCCCCTTTTTTGAAAACTTGTAAACGGTCAAGATCCCCACCCCTAAACCATATATATTCTTGTACGGGACAATAAAACAAATCAAATGAAATATGAGGCGAGTCCCCTGGGGTCACCCCCAACCCCCTCCTGTTTTAGAACTTGTAAATGGTCATGATCACCACCTCTAAACCATCGATTGGTTTAGAGGTGGTGATCAAATCAAATGAAATATTGGGGGAGTCCCCGGGTTCACCCCCACTCCACTTCTTTTTGAAAACTTGTGAACTGTCAAGATCCCCACCCTGAAACCATATATATTCTTGTATGGGACAGTAAAACAAATCAAATGAAATTGAAGGGAATTCACCTGGGGTAGCCCCCATCCCCCCCCCCTTTTTTGAAAACTTGTAAACGGTCAAGATCCCCACCCCGAAACCATATATATTCTTGTATGGGACAATAAAACAAATCAAATGAAATTGAAGGGAATTCACCTGGGGTAGCCCCCATCCCCCACCCCCCTTTTTGAAAACTTGTAAACAGTCAAGATCCCCACCCCTTAACCATATATATTCTTGTATGGGACAATAAAACAAATCAAATGAAATTGAGGGGAAGTCCCCTGAGGTCACCCTCACCCCCTCCTGTTGGAGAACTTGTAAACGGTCGAGATCCCCACCCCTAAACCATATATATTCTTGTAGGGGACAATAAAACAAATCAAATGAAATTGAGGGGAAGTCCCCTGGGGTAACCCCCACACACCCCCTTCTTTTTGAAAACTGGTAAATGGTCAAGATCCCCAACCCGAAACCATATATATTCTTGTATGGGACAATAAAACAAATCGAATGAAATGAAAGGCGGGTCCCCTGGGGTCACCCCCACCCCCTCCTGTTTGAGAACTTGTAAACGATCGAGATCCCCATCCCTAAACCATATATATTCTTGGATGGGACAATAAAACAAATCAAATGAAATATAGGGGAAGTCTATGGGGGTAACCCCCACCCCCTTCTTTTTGATAACTTGTAAACGATCGAGATCCCCATCCCTAAACCATATATATTCTTGAATGGGACAAGAAAACAAATCAAATAAAATTGAGGGGAAGTCCCCTGGGGTAACCCCCACCCCCTTCTTTTTGAAAACTTGTAAACGGTCGAGATCCCCACCCCTAAACCATATATATTCTTGAATGGGACAATAAAACAAATCAAATGAAATATTGGGGGAGTCCCCGGGTTCACCCCCACTCCACTTCTTTTTGAAAACTTGTGAACTGTCAAGATCCCCACCCTGAAACCATATATATTCTTGTATGGGACAATAAAACAAATCAAATGAAATTGAAGGGCATTCACCTGGGGTAGCCCCCATCCCCCCCTTTTTTGAAAACTTGTAAACGGTCAAGATCCCCACCCCAAAACCATATATATTCTTGTACGGGACAATAAAACAAATCAAATGAAATATGAGGCGAGTCCCCTGGGGTCACCCCCAACCCCCTCCTGTTTTAGAACTTGTAAATGGTCATGATCACCACCTCTAAACCATCGATTGGTTTAGAGGTGGTGATCAAATCAAATGAAATATTGGGGGAGTCTCCGGGTTCACCCCCACTCCACTTCTTTTTGAAAACTTGTGAACTGTCAAGATCCCCACCCTGAAACCATATATATTCTTGTATGGGACAATAAAACAAATCAAATGAAATTGAAGGGAATTCACCTGGGGTAGCCCCCATCCCCCCCCTTTTTTGAAAACTTGTAAACGGTCAAGATCCCCACCCCGAAACCATATATATTCTTGTATGGGACAATAAAACAAATCAAATGAAATTGAAGGGAACTCACCTGGGGTAGCCCCCATCCCCCCCCCTTTTTGAAAACTTGTAAACAGTCAAGATCCCCACCCCTTAACCATATATATTCTTGTATGGGACAATAAAACAAATCAAATGAAATTGAGGGGAAGTCCCCTGAGGTCACCCTCACCCCCTCCTGTTGGAGAACTTGTAAACGGTCGAGATCCCCACCCCTAAACCATATATATTCTTGTATGGGACAATAAAACAAATCAAATGAAATTGAGGGGAAGTCCCCTGGGGTAACCCCCACACCCCCCCCTTCTTTTTGAAAACTGGTAAATGGTCAAGATCCCCAACCCGAAACCATATATATTCTTGTATGGGACAATAAAACAAATCGAATGAAATGAAAGGCGGGTCCCCTGGGGTCACCCCCACCCCCTCCTGTTTGAGAACTTGTAAACGATCGAGATCCCCATCCCTAAACCATATATATTCTTGTATGGGACAATAAAACAAATCAAATGAAATATAGGGGAAGTCCATGGGGGTAACCCCCACCCCCTTCTTTTTGATAACTTGTAAACGATCGAGATCCCCACCCCTAAACCATATATATTCTTGAATGGGAAAAGAAAACAAATCAAATAAAATTGAGGGGAAGTCCCCTGGGGTAACCCCCACCCCCTTCTTTTTGAAAACTTGTAAACGGTCGAGATCCCCACCCCTAAACCATATATATTCTTGAATGGGACAATAAAACAAATCAAATGAAATTGAGGGGAAGTCCCCTGGGGTAACCCTCAACCCCCCTTCTTTTTGCAAACTGGTAAATGGTCAAGATCCCCACCCCGAAACCATATATATTTTTGTATGGGACAATAAAACAAATCGAATGAAATATAAGGCGAGTCCCCTGGAGTCACCCCCACCCCCCTCCTGTTTAAGAACTTGGAAACGGTCTAGCTTTTCATTATTAATAAGATAATACCACATTGAGGTCCAAAGGGTCCTAAATTAAACTTTTGTTTAATTAAAAAAAAAATCTGTTATTAATTTGTTCATGTACGGCAGACGGGCGGGCGGCTGCCAAACAGTGTCCATGCATTTACTAATGAACCGTTCTACCAAAGCTTTTCAGATTTTAATATGTTGTGACTGATGAAAAAATGGAGGTCAAGTTCGATATTGACGATTTTCACTCTCAATGTTCAGGAGTTATGGTTCTTGAAAGATTAAAAAATGGTGTTTCCAGTCGTGTCCGTGCTTTAACTCATGAACCGTTCAACCAAAGCTTTTCAAATTTTAATATGTTGTGACTGATGAAAAAATGGAGGTCAAGTTCGATATTGACGATTTTCACTCTCAATGTTCAGGAGTTATGGTTCTTGAAAGATTAAAAAATGGTGTTTCCAGTCGTGTCCGTGCTTTAACTCATGAACCGTTCAACCAAAGCTTTTCAAATTTTAATATGTTGTTACTGATGACAAAATGGAGGTCAAGTTTAATATTGACGATTTTCACTTTCACCGTTCAGGAGTTATGGTTCTTGAAAGATTGAAAAATGGTGTTTCCAGTCGTGTCCGTGCTTTAACTCATGAACCGTTCAACCAAAGCTTTTCAAATTTTAATATGTTGTGACTGATGAAAAAATGGAGGTCAAGTTCGATATTGACGATTTTCACTCTCAATGTTCAGGAGTTATGGTTCTTGAAAGATTAAAAAATGGTGTTTCCAGTCGTGTCCGTGCTTTAACTCATGAACCGTTCAACCAAAGCTTTTCAAATTTTAATATGTTGTGACTGATGAAAAAATGGAGGTCAAGATTGATATTGATGATTTTAACTTTTACCGTCCATATTAAGGTTCAAAGGGTCCAAAATCAAACTTTGTTTGATTTTTATTTTAAATTGAATTATTGGTGTTCTTTGATATGCTGAATCTAATCATGTATTTATATTTTTAATTTTTGGGCCTGTTTTCAAATTGGTCCACATTAAGGTCAAAAGGGTCCAAAATTAAACTATGTTTGAATTTAAAAAAAAAATGAATGGTTTGGGTTCTTTGATGTGCTGAATCTAAGCAGATATTTAATTGATTATAATTTGAAAGTAGATGTAACATCATATCTAATTTTAGAGAACTATTTTTAGTGGTTAATTCATATCTAATTTTAGAGAACTATTTGTAGATCATTTATTCAGTTTGAGTTATTTCCCTTTGAACAGAAAATTAATAAGTATATGGATAAAATTAAACTGTTTCATTTCAACATAAATTAAATATGTATAGGGTTCTTTCAAATGCTGAATCTAAACCTGTATTTAAATTTTGGATTTTTGGGCCCAGTTTTCAAGTTAGTCCAAATCAGGGTCCAAAATTAAACTTTGTTTGATTTCAACAAAAATTGAATTTATGGGGTTCTTTGAAATGCTGAATCTAACCAGGTATTTAGAGATTTTGGATTTTGGGCTCCTTTATCAAATTTGTCCACATTGAGGTCCAAAGGGTCCTAAATTAAACTTTTGTTTTCTTGGGGTTCTTTGATATGCTGATTCTAACAATGTACTTATATTTTGGATATTGGACCATAAAAGGTAAATGTCCAATTTCAAATTTTTCAGTTCTTTTACCACATTCATTTTGTGTCACAAACCTATACTATGTCAAATATTCAATCACAATCCAAATTCAGAGCTGTTTTAAGCGAAAATGTTGTGTCCATGCTTGCTCGACTGTTCAAGTTTCGACCTCTGCAGGAAAATCCGGTTTGCTGTTACTCTGACAGCCTCTTGTTCTTTGCTACCTTGATTTGTCTCCATCTAAATGATTTGCGATATTTGAATATCGGTAATCACAATTGCCTTATTTTATATACAGTATTGGTTGTACAACCTTACATTTTAAGTTCTTTCAGAAGTCATTCAAAAATTCTGTTTCATTTATCCAGTTGATATATATTGAACTCACTTCGACATGAAAAATAATAAGTTGCATCATAACTATTCGTATTGAACATCAGTTTCATAATGACTTAGCTGCAACAAATGGAACATATCCGTTCACACAGATATTCCATAACTGTCATTCAAATCATAATAGTTCAATTTTCAACTTTTCCGTTAAGTATCAAATCTAGTATAGAAAGATTTGAAATATATTTTTTACCACTGTTGTGAATTTATTATCATAAGATTTAATTTATTGTTTCAGATGTATTGTATTCAACGACAGCATCAATAAGAATTTCAGATAAAACCTGCTGATATATTTATTTTGTGAAATCTCTTTATTTCAATTTAAATTCTAATTCCAAGAAGAGGAAATAGTGATGTCAACGGCATCAGAAAATATGATATGTTCATTTGCATACTGTGATCAAGGACATGTTATACCACCATGGTCAGCTAGAGTTGACGTAAGGGGGTTTCACGTTCCTAAATCGAAACGAAAAGGTATGTGTACAATGAAAGTCCTTTTAGAATTAATGTATATCTTTCAAATAATTTTATATAGATTATTACAAAAAGACATTTTATGCATTTTTAACCGGATTTTCGAAGGAAAAATCGGTTATTGATTTGGGAATGTACGGCTGGCGGGCGGGCGGCTGCCAAACAGTGTCCGTTCATTAACATGAAAACGCTTTGACAAAATCTTTTAAAATTTAGATATGTTGTTTCCTGTGACTAAATGAAGGTCAAGTTCAATTTTCACGATTTTAGCTTTTCTCGTTGTTGAGTTATAGCTCTTTCCCAAGAATTCAATTTTTGATGAAATACTTATTAATTACTCCATTTCTGTTCAAAGGGAAATGGCTCATTTTTTAAAAGATTTTTAAAAGACATTGTATTAATGATAAATGACATTTTGGATTTTTTTTCTTTACTTTGGGTAATTGTTTGAAGAATTTTGTGGTAGGTTTGTTTGTTATTCTGTATAAACTAATTTTCTGAATGCTATATATAATTTTTTTTTTATGAAGTGAACTCCTTTAATTAGATAATAATCTATTTCTATTAAAGGATATATTTCATTACATTACATTGTGTAGATAAAGTTGTTGACATTGTATTTACATTGTATCATAGGTCAAATTTATTTGTTCAGTGTATGTTCAATGGTGTTAATATGTCCTTTGATTGAGTTAAGCTATTTCAGTTGATATTTTATAGTGTGTCTTTCTATGTTGTGATGTTACACTGTTGTTTCAGAAAAAGGGTTAAGGTTTGGTACCATTAAAACGTTTAAACCCGCTGCATTTGTTTGCACCTGTCCTAAGTCAGGAATCTGATGTTCAGTAGTTGTCGTTTGTTGATGTGGTGCATTAGTGTTTCTCGTTTCTAGTTTTTTATATAGATTAGACCGTTGGTTTTCCCGTTTGAATGGTTTAAATTTACACTAGTAATTTTTGGGGCCCTTTATAGCTTACTGTTCGGTGTGAGCCAAGTCTCCGTGTTGAAGACCGTACTGTGACCTATAATGGTTTACTTTTATAAATTTTGACTTGGATGGAGAGTTGTCTCATTGGCACTCATACCACATCTTCTTATATCTATTGATAGATAAGTTGCAGATCTATATTAGTTTGTGACAAATGAAAGAAAAAATAATTGGAACTATCAATTATATTTGATTATAGTTTGAAAATTGATATACATTGTGTAACATCATATCTAATTTTAGAGAACTAGTTTTAGTGGTTAAATCATATCTCATTTTAGAGAACTATGTTTGCTTTATTAGTTAAACCATTTCTGTTCAAAGGGAAATAACTCAAACTTATTCTATGAACCAGTAATGATAACATAAGTATATGGATTCTGTTCAAATAATTTTAGTCATTAGTTGTCAAAATTTCTTTATAACTATTTTTTTTAAGTCATGTGTGTTATGAAGGTAGATGTCACAGTTGTTCTGTGGTATTTTATTTTTGTTTTGTGTGTTAATGTTTAATTTTTACATGATCCTGTTTGGGGGTTCAGATTTGCAAATATCGTTTTCATTATTAATTAGATAATAATCTATTTTGAATATTCAATCACAATCCAAATTCAGAACCTAAATGTTGTGTCCATACTTGCTCAACTGTTCAGGGTTCGACCTCTGCAGGAAAATCCGGTTTGCTGTCACTCGACAGCCTCTTGTTTTTTTTTTATTTTTTGGCGGTCCCAATTAACTATATAACTTGCAGTTATAATTATAAGTTGACTGTTTACAAAACTTTGGATTTTTCGAAATACTATGGATTTTCTACAGGAATAGATTACCTTAGTTGTATTTGACAAATTCTTTCGGAAAGTTGGGTCCTCTATGCTCTATAACTACGTACTTTATTTTGCCTTTTAACTTTTTTATTTGAGCATCACTGATGAGTCTTTTGAAGGCGAAACGCGCGTCTGGCATACAAAATTATAAGCCTGGTATCTTGGATCTGTTGAAGGACAGTAAATAAGAAACAAGTTATGCAGTTCAAGAATAATGATAAGCTTTTATGTAAAAAAAATATTAAAAACTTCTGTTGAGTGGTAAGTTTAGTTACATAAAAGAGACATACTACAAGACAAGAAACAGGACAGAATGAAAAATAAGCAAAAATGATGTAAGCACCTTAAAAGCAATAATGATAAAGGCAAGATGTTATTAAAGATATAACTCTAGAATTTAAACACTCATTTCAATCATCTTTTTCTGAAAGGAATGGTGGTAGATTGGACAGATGATGGCTCTGCCTCTCTCCATGTGATTTGTTGGCAGAAAGTGTGTGAACTTGCACAGGGCAAATCTCCAAACATCAAGTTGTGCAAGAAAGAAAAGGACTTGATAAATGAAGCAGAACAAACAGTAGAGTTTCATGATTCAGAAGAATGCTTTCAGAAAGAGGCTTCACGAATAGCTGCATTGTTAAGAGATTCAGCTTATTGCATAGGATTTACAGGTAAACATTATTTAGTTAATAATCTACATTTATGTGAAACAATGTTAAAAAACACCTTCACCATTCTTTTTATTTAGAATCAATTTAAGCCTGAATATATTCTTATATCTATTTTCATCTATATTTACCAAGGCAGCAAAGCTGGAAACGAATTCGAGGAAATTGGAAATTTATGGCAAAGCAATTTTACTTTCATCTTAATCCCAACTCCCACCCACTTAGAGATGTGTATATAGTGATTGTGGTGTCCATTCGTCCATCCAGTCATTGTATCTGCAAACTATCTAAATAAAATTATGTTTGCTGGGAGTTAATAAACGCTTCAGAGACTTTTAGCACTACTGTCGTTACACATTTCTTTTTTTCTGTTCCAGATTATTGGTGTGGTTTTCCCATTCCAAAAAAAATGACTTTGTCATTGTTTATTAAATAAGGCAGCAATCCATGGATAAATGAAACTTTCACAAAATCCCCAGGTTACAATGCCACTGAAAGTTCTCAATTTCAAACGAGGTGTGGGATATTATTTTGTGATGTCTTTCTTTAGTTTTCTATCTCTTCCTGTATTTTTGATAATGCTACATTTCAAATTTTCAAAACGTTCAACTTCGCAAAATGTACGAATGTGTTTATATTTTAGGTGCTGGAATTTCAACTGCAGCTGGCATTGGAGATTATCGAGGCATACATGGACAATGGACTAACAACGATAAAACCAAAGAATATGGTAATAATGGTTATAAATTTGTGTATCATTGTTTTTTTTATTATCGAGGCACAGAAACGGATTTAAAAAGTGTAAAAACCTAGCTGACTACTGAAAAGGTTTTTAAAAGTCCATTAGCCTCCGCACCAACACAATGTTTTCCAATAAAAGTACTGATTTTGGTAGATTTTGAATGTTTGTATTGTAATATTCCTATTTGCCATTTTCAAGTGAGATTTATAATGAAAAGGCGCTCATATTAATTTAAATAATGTCGAGAAAGCCAACATAAACGCAATATGTTTTATGCAATTTACTGGAGGAAATGTTGACCATAGACTGTTCTGTTTTGGTCTTTTTTGCTTTGATGCTTTGAAACAATGTATCTTCTTGTATCCCAAACTAGATGATACCTAATGACTTTTGTTAATAATCTAAAGAGATAAACAACTATAGGTTATCGTTTGGTCTTGAGTAATACCCATACCGTAATGCCAGTCATAAAGTTTATTTATAATTTATGGTTTATATTCAAGGTCCTGCATCAGCTAGTTTTGGGCTAAACGTGCAGTCACAGAGAGACTATCTTCTTCCAACATATACACATGAAGCTATTTATAAATTAATGGACATGGGTTTAATCAAATATTTAATAAGTCAGAACACTGATGGACTACACAAGTTGTCTGGAATTCCATCGGATAAAATATCAGAATTACATGGGAATGGTTATGAAGAAAAATGTGACACGTGTGGGTCGAGGCATATGCGAAGGCAATCAACAGTCCAACACCTGAGAGTACCTCCACAAGAATGCTGTAGCCTGATGATGTGGCTGTGATCACAGAACGGGAAATATATGTGAAATTCCGGTAGTTTTTACAAGCTTTAGTGAAACCATTGCCTTTCTCTTGTGTTTGTCTATGTTTGTTATATCGTATGCTCCCATTCCAGCAAAACTTTAGACACACAAAATAATTGGACTAGAAAAAGACTTGTTTTATCAACATTTGTTACGATGGATATTTTTGTTTAATTGAATTATGCTTTTAACTTAAAGCGGATGAGATAAATATTCAATGGTTATCCATTTAATTGTTACTTCAAGTACCGACGGTATAATATAAATAACAATATATTTCGCCGTGAAGTGATTCCTGCAAAAACATACCATATCTTTAGTCAAGCTTCACGTGCCATTTGATTAGTTTGATCTTTGGGGTCATATTACTAGTAATTGTAAAACAATATACTTAATTACAGTAAAATTATAATATTTTAAACTCTGCTATGCTGTAGTGCGAGATTGCCTGAGGAAGTTTCTTAAAATTTGACCCGGTTGTAGGCCATTAATTCCTAAAAAGACAGTCAGTCGTCAGAGCAATCTCGGACTACCATGCCCTTGTTCAAAGAACAGTGGCAAAAATAAATGAAGACTTGCACCTGACAAAACTAAATACATTAATGAATTTAACTAAAATAACAATTTTTATTTAGGGCTGTAATGGATATCTGATGAACACCATTATCAATTTTGGAGATATTCTTGAAGAATTTGTTTATTCGTCTGCTAAAGAAAATGGTGAAAAGGCTGATGCTGTCATTTGTCTTGGTACAACACTGCTAGTTTCACCAGCTGATGAGCTAGTTACACTCGGCAAAAAACCTAATAGACTCGTCATTTGTAACAGGTGATTATATGGTAATCGTAAACATAAATAATATTCCGATTGCATTGAATTTGACAATTTTGATTCATAATCTTTAATAGGTGTTTAAGGTCAGATAATCGATCTTATTTGCACTTTTATATAGAGAACTGTTTGCTGTCATACTTAAGACCATGGAGAGCTATTTCTTTTAATGTCTTTTTTGAAAATATTCCCTTTCTTCTGTCCTACACTTCATTGACTGTGACAAGAAGGATTCATTTAATTTTGTTGTTACACCAAACTTCACTATACTGACTTTGTTTTAGCAATATAATGCTTAAAGACAATGGTAAAGAAAACCTTAATCTGTGCAAAGTTGTTATTTATGCATGATTAAGCCCCCTTTAATTTTTTGGGATCCATGGCGAATAGCTTGGTCCAGACTTACCATACACTTATAGAATAAGATTTGTATATTATATATTAACTTCGAAATATTCAGAAATAAGTTCTATTATACTTTTCAGACAATCTACCCCCTATGATGACTATTGCACTCAAATAGATGAACGTGGAGAACAGGTTGGTTCTCGAGTGTATGGTGACTGTGATCGTCTTATGAAGCTGGTTATGGGTTTTATTTTAGGTGAAGATCATACCAAGGAATGGGAAGATGAACGGGATCAAAGAATTGCATTATATGATATGACTAGGACATAGATACTTAGATATTAATCACAAAGTGTCGTATCGTCATCAACTCTACATCTCGTACTTGGATTCAACGGCTCATCAAAATCTGTTCAGGATGTGTATTATAAAGCACTGTTTATTTTATGGATCTGTGTATTCAAATGCTGTTTACTTGCATAATTGTTATGAATCATTAAATGCATAATTGTATGAATCATGAAATGCATAATTGTATCAATCATTGAACGTATAATTGTTATGAATCATTGAATGCATAATTGTATAAATCATTAAATGCATAATGGTTATGAATCATTAAATGCATTATGTATATATTTAGATTAGTGTGTGTACTAGTAAGTGTATGCATGCGAAGGTTTTGTTTTGCTGTACAAAATATTTGTTTATTATTGCAGCTTGAAAAGTTTAACTTAAAGTGCCAACAAGTTTTGAACTCAAAATACACACAAATTGTTGCATGATCTTGCATGAAGCATAGTAATTAACCTTTTTCTATTTTTCAAAACAGTTCATATTAACAGAACAGTGTAAAACTTTTTGAATTTATCAACTACAGAAACAAAATGTTAAAGCTGCAATTTGATTTTACCGTGACTAAAAGAATTTCAAGTTCCGATTTTTTTTTGATCGACTACTTCATATTTACTCAACTGGGGCATTTGCGGAATGTTTGCAAAAATATAAAGACAGACTTCGCTCGATGATATACTAGTTGCGCTCAAAAGAACTAGTTGGACTTAAACCTACTTTTCTGGTCTAGTGGTTCTTCCTCAGAAACCTGCTGCAGTATGGTTTTTGAGTAAACAATAGACCTCTGTTAATAAATTGCCATCAGAAAATATGGGGAAAATGGCAACAATTAACTCATTTTCAAAGATTGCATCTTCATAAAAGTATTAGTCATAATATATTGGTTGTTTAATTCCCGATTAAAAATAAGTTAATTCCGACAATTTGTCTTGTAACTATCGAGATGCAATCGAGTGTTTTCACTTTGAAACCATACATTTAGCCTACAATTACACTCTGTGTAATTACACAACTTAGAAAAAATTACAGACAAATGTACCATTTAAATCATGCTTTAACTGATGTGCTGACTAATTGGAAATGGTATTTTGACGACTGAGAGTTCACCGGCAGTTTTACTGAACCTCCATAGGTAACTCCATGGTAGTAAGTTAACTTATCTTAAATTTCAGTATTTGCACGAGACAAATTTGTGAAGCCAAACACACAGAACACTCAGAGAATCAAAACTAAAAGGGCTTTAACAACTTTGTCTATATAATTTGTAATCGTAGTTTGAGTATATACAATTTGTATAAATTTGAAATTAAAGGCAAAATGTATCATTTGAATAATGCCAGTACCGAAGTAAAGGCTGCTTAGCAGATGGTCCACTAGCAACATTACAAACCTGTTAGTAGTCATGATAATAAGCAAACCCATATACATTGCGTATGATACCCATATTAAGGTGCAACACGCGTGTCTCAAAAATAAACTTTGATAACTAACTTGTATATTCGGGAAGCCAAAGATATACAATGTTGAGAGGATCAATTCTAAGAGTCAAAAACAGGACAGCCAAATAAGGAGATTTGGTATGATTGCCGACGAGACCACTATCCACAAGAGTTTAAATGACATGGATGCAAGCGATCATAAGTCACCGTTTATAAGGTTGTACACCTTCAACAATGAACAAAACTCATACCATACATATAGTTTTAAAAAAAGTTCCTGACATGACGAAATGGGAAACAATTCAAACGAGAAAAATAACAGACTAATTTATAACAATACAATTTACGAAAAACAAATATGACAGACATGGACCAACGACAACCACTGAATTATAGGCTTAGTTTAAACATATTTTATTTGCAAAAGTAGCAAAAGGGATTGGACACAAGTTATAGCAACATTAGTGACTAGGCTCCTGACTAATGTGGCTGTGTTCAATTTTGAACTTTTTATTTCTGTATGGCAACGTCCCATGGGTTCCATATCGTTAAATTGAAGTCATCCCTTCAGGTTTACGGACGCTATCTTAATTTACTAGTAATTGACCATGATGGAATATCTGTGTCAGGGATAATTGTTCCAGTTTTCTAAGTGACAATCCCTTCCCCTTTTCTCGATTGTGACATCGCCGAATGCAACTTATCGCCGTTTTGTCCTTGCCATATAAAGCAAAACGATGTTTTAGTTTGCCACTAGTGGAACAGGAACTGCTTAGCCTGTCGGATAACCTGCGTTCACCTCCGGTTCGTTTTCAAACTTTAGATTTCTGTTCAGTGTTTTGTGGACTTTTTGTCTTTCGTCGAAATTCATTTCTGTCAAGGTGTTGTTAGTTTTCGTCGAATTTTTGTTTTTCATTATATATATTCACCCTCTTTATAAACAAAAAATATTTGTTTGTACTTTGTCAAGCTGTAGTTCAAAAAATACTATTAAAAAATATATTCAATTAAACAGTAGCGGATCCTGGATTTGAAAAAGTGGTCCGACGAAAATGTTTTTTCTAAAATTGCTGGGTAAGTAGGGGCAAGGCACGGCATTAAAAAATTTATCAAATAATTAAGATAACGCAACTTTTTAGCCATTATGGGCGGGTCATCTATGCCGCCTCGCCTTGGATCCGCCCTTATTAAAAGTATGAATTACCGAGCTTTTTTTAAGCTACTGGTTGTGTAAAATTCTATAATTTTGTAAGGATTATACACCGTAACTAAAAAGAAAACTCAACTGATTGAATTTTTAATATTTAAGAAATAAAATATGAGAATATAGCTCTTAAAGTATGATTTCAAAAAATTGAATTACCGTGCAAGATTTTTGCAACAGAACAAAATGAATAAATTTACTAAAAATTAAAATAATAGGTATCACCAATATAATCTCATGCTCATTGTTGAAGGCCATACGGTGGCCTATAGTTGTAAACTTCTACGTTATTTGGTCTCGGGTGGAGAGTTGTCGCATTGGCAATCATACCACATCTTCTTAATGTTATAAAAAATTGTATTTCTGAAGCAAAACTTGCCTATTTAAAAAAAATAAATGCCGATCATTTGCAGTCATTTGTGATTCAAGATGGTGGGATAATCCGCACTACCTTATAAGGTCCTAGTTTATAGTTTGATCTTAATTTTCACATACCTTAACAGTATTATCAAAATCATGTTAAAATGTATACTTTATTCTGATCGTTGTTTGAACTATTAGTAAGTTAGTTAGTAATTAAGTTAAGAAGTAAGTAAGTGAAAAGGTAAATAAGTAAGTACTTTATTTTAAGCTAGAGGGTAGCACAGCGTAACAGCAATAAAGCCAATCTTCCTAGCTGGAGCCCCAGTCAATAATTATGAAATGAATTATATACATTGAACAAATCTACGCTATATATACATTTTGTCGGAAATAAAATGTTTCTATGGGTTTCTTATTTATTCATTAAATATGCTACAACTACTTTTCTTTAAATGTATCAATGGTTTTCGCTTGTTATACTAGATGTTCAAGAATTCCATAATGTGGTGTCTGTATAATAGAAAGTTTTCTTCATGAAATTTGAATGGAGTCTTGGGACAAATACATTTCCTTTATTTGACGATCTCAAAGAATATTTTGTATAATTAGCAGTCACATTGAGTAAAGATGTCACATATATATATAAAATTCATAAAAATAACATTAGAGCTTCCTTCTGATTTTCTATTCTACTATGATTTGTTAACCAAACTAGTTTTCGAAATATAGTTTTAATGATAGAACATCATGTTCAGCATTAGGAATAATTCTTGCTACACGCTTTTGTAATTTATAATTTGTTTCATTATTTAAAGCAGCGATTTCTCCTCATATAGAGCAACAGTCGTAAAAAGTGGTAAAATATAACCGTCTACCGTCTATTACAACTTTCTAAGATCTCTGCTGTAAATTAGACTATTTTAAACCATTTTATTGATAAGTGATCAAGCTTCTTCTTATTCCAAGTAAGGAATCTAATTCAACCATGAATGTATGCATGGTCCCGCGAAAAATTTGCGCAGTGCCGGGCAACACAGCTCGTCTTCTCAAAGTTATTTACAATAAAACAATCTCCAATGTACAATTAAAACTATATACAGGCTGAGCACACCTGAATCCCTCTGTTGTATAGGCCGAGGTGACTTAAGGTTGTATGGGAGTATAAACTAAAACTGATAGAAATTTTTCATAATTTGTCAAAATGTAGTATATATTGTGATATGTTCAAAAAATAATCAAAGTGCTAGGTCACCGAGTTTGTTTTCAAGCTACAAATGGTGAAAAAATGACACATTCTGTATGAATTATACAGAGAAAAAGCATCATAATGTGAATAGAAGACAAACTAAACGATAGAATTTTGAAATAAAATATGAGAAGATAGCTATTATTATATGCTTTTTGAATGAAAAAAAAAATGGGGTCACCGTCAATTTTTTCCTGCCTTTACATTAAAAATAGAAAAATTTCCTGTAGTTTCCTTTATAAATTGTACTATTTCTGAGTTACTTCCCCTTAATACGCAAAGTTTTTTAAAAATCAAGCAAAAATAAGGAGACGTGATATGCATAAACTTTTTAATGTCCCACTCCAATTATCTGGGCCCCTCTTTTTCAAAATCCTGGATCCGCATTTGAGACATTAATTTTGGTTCTAAATCAACGTAAAACAGTTATTGTACTTTGTAGTTCATTCATTTTGTGTTTGTTAAATGGTTTTTGGATGTATCGTTCGGACAAGCACATGCGCATGTCACTGGTTAGATGTCATTAGTTCCGCTCGATGCAACGTGTGAGACAAGTTGCCAAACTAGCGGTTTCTTTGAATAACTGCTGCATACTTCAAAGATCCTTAAAATTACCCCTACAGCAGACACGTATCTCTCCTTTCTGTGGCATATTTTATTCTAAGTCAGCCTTTGCAACGATGTCTTACAGTGTAACTGAGCGAGGATGTCCGAATTCTTTGGAGTACCGAATGTTTTTCAGTAAGTTTTACAGTTTGATAATAATATGCAGTGTTAGCTTTGTCCCACTTAAAAACACCCCGTGGTTTTTAAAAAAATAAAGCATTAGAATTGAGGAGATAAAGTAAGATTAAAACTAAATTATATCAGTTATAACTTATATTTTTGAACCTGTACTTTTTGTTCCCATATACTATAGCATGCAACAGGTAGTTGAATACACCTTATCACTATTTGTCCGCCTTTACTGGACATCACAGGTTCCCGTAAAATTTTGATGTCATAATAGAAAATTTCGATGCCACAATGGAAAAGTGATTTGTTGTATGACGTCAATAGTTCAAGAGGCGCAGATTCTCAGGTCAAGCGGCGCAGATTTCCATATCGCGATAAGGTCTATTAATATTATCCCTTATTAGAATCCTGTCTGAAGTGATTTTCCAATTTAGCCACTCATCAAACAACAGTTAGTGGGCGGCCAAATCAGTAGCTGTGGCTCTGCAAATTTACAAAATTATCACATGGACCATAAGAGTGACGGTTCAGCAGCTACCAAATCAGTGAATCAGACAGGAAACAGAATCCCAATAGGTATAAGGTGAATAGATCTAAAAAAAATTTAATGAGAACAATGAAAATCATAAACAGACTAGTTTTCCTCACTGAACTTTTTCTCTTAATTTATAAATATGCATCAGTGCTAGATATTTAGTTGGTAATTCCTTATTTTTTGAGTGGAGAAATATTTGTATAACTATAAATGACATAAACTGAGACAACTGTTACTGTAATGGTTTATTCTCAGGTGAAATAAAATTGAATTTGAACAATACTAAAAAAAAATTTAAAAAGGAAATAAACCAACGATGTATATTTTGTTGTAAATTTAATATCATCCCTTTGAAGACGAAGGCTTCAGGGCTTGGGGATAAGTGAGGGTCATAAATTAAGCAAAATCCAAGAAATTTATCTTAATGAACAGGTACACATGTCACATTTAAAGCAGGTTTCTGAAATTAGCTTGAAGACATTTGGTAAATGGTTGACTTCAAGAGGGAAATACATTTGTAGTTGTTTTTTTACTTGAAAAGGGGAAAGTGGCATCACACAAGGGCAGAGGGTGCAATATTTCTTGAGCAGGGACTGGTCCAGCGAGTGCTTAAAAATCTATATTTTATTTATCATTTGCATGTCTCGCTTACTAAAAAAAAGTGTTATATGATAACTATAATTGGTATATAAGGGAATCTTACAAAGTTTGGCAGTGTAAAGCTCGATGTATTTTGGCATATAATACTAAGTCAATAAATATTTGATGTGAAACAATACTGCTGACATGCAATTTATTTTTTATACGCCCGTTTACGGGACGTATTATGGTATACCGCTGTCCGTCTGTCCGTCCGTCCGTCCGTCCGTCCGTCGTCAACATGTCGGACATTTACTCAAAAACGCTTTAACCAATTTGCATAAAACTTTGGTGAATTGTTTATATCTATTGACGTGAGCTCCCTTTCGTTTTTTATAAATTTTAGATTTTACGTTTCCGAGTTATGGGGTTTTATTCATTAAAAAGGGGGGATTTTCCAGTTTTTGGACAATAACTCAAGAATGCTTTCACCAACTTGCAAGAAATTGTGGTGAATTGTTTATATCTATTGACATGAGCTCCCGTTTGATTTTTATAAATTTTAGATTTTACTTTTCCCAGTTACAGGGTTTTGTTCATAAAAAAAGGGGGATTTTCCAGTTTTCAGTCAAAAACTCAAAAATGCTTTCAACAGTTCTTATGAAACTTTGGTGAATTGTTTATATCTATTGATGTAAGCTCCCTTTAGAATTTTTTAAATTTTACATCTTACATTTCTGAGTTATAGGGTTTTATTCATTAAAAAAGGGGGGATTTTCAAGTTTTCGGACAATAACTCAAAAATGCTGTCAGCAATTCTCATGAAACTTTGGTGAATTGTTTATATCTATTGATGTAAGCTCTCTTTACATTTTCATAAATTTTTAATATGACATTGAGAATTAATTGAATTTTATTTGTTTATAGTCTGACAACAGATTTACTAAGTATTGCGCAACAGCACAGTGTATTGCACAACAGCAAGAAATCTTTAATTTTTGACTACATTTATTCAGAAACCTATAATATGTCAAATATTTAATTACAATCCAAATTCAGACCTGTATCAAGCTTGAATATTGTGTCCATTTTTGCCCCAACTGTTCAGGGTTGGACCTCTGCGGGCGTATCCAGCTGCGCTCAGCGAAGCAGTTTATTACCCTCATGTATGGAGCTATTTTTTCCATGCATACTTTTGTAGCACTATAAATTTGAAGTACTGAAAACACCATAATAATTTTGGATTTTTTTTCTCATTTCTTTGAAATTATTGTACTATTTCAGTACCATAGTTTCACGCACATACATTGTATGTCTAAAAATTTCTGCAAAATTGCAAAATATTCCAGTTTTCAAATTTTGTTTATTGTAAACAAGCACTATAACTTACAAATGAATGTTTTGTTTAATATTTTTCAAAGATGTTATCTCAATCTAAATCAATATATTTATACCCCATTGATGGGCATTATGTTTTTTGGTCTGTGCGTCCATTCGTTCGTCCATCCGTCTGTCCAGCTTCAGGTTAAAGTTTTTGGTCAAGGTAGTTTTTGATGAAGTTGAAGTCCAATCAACTTGAAACTTAGTACACATGTTCCCTATGATATGATCTTTCTAATTTTAATGCCAAGTTAGAGTTTTGACCTCAATTTCATGGTCCACTGAACATAGAAAATGATAGTGTGAGTGGGGCATCTGTGTACTATGGACACATTCTTGTTCAAAAATGATATCTCAATCTAAAACATATATCTTAAAATCAAACTAAACTACAATATACTTTGAAACTGTTTCAACTCCCCTTCCTTTAACTGTTGAATTGTCCATGTCTTAGGAAGCTGTCTAAATTCCTTGTTTTTATATTGAATAAGTGACAATTAATTTTACAGTTTGAATTTTTACAAGTATTTTTTACAATATAAAGATTTGTAACTACTTGAATTTTCATGACAAATATAACATTTTCTTCATTTCACTTTTGGAATAGTTAAAGGAAGGAATTTGGAATAAAAGTGTAGAAGTTGGGATTTCCTCCTTTAGGTAAATGAACCCACATAACCAGAGTATTGCATGTACTTAACAACACAATAGAAGGTTGTATTAAAAACCTTTTAATTTTTTGAAGTTTATTTTAAGAACACAAAAATGCATGTATTTTATCCTTCTGTTCAATAGTTTGTCTAATATAAAGCTACAGTTGTAACAATCCTACATGTATCACATCTTAAATTATTTGTAACTGAAATGACATTTGTTTCAGCTTATGTATCTATGTTTGACAATCTTAATTTCACATAGATCATAAAAAAATAAATTGTACATCAGTCATCAAAACTATTTTTTATAAACAAGAAATATTTGATTACATTAATTCCAGATGGACCAAATGGCAATATTATCTCTCCTTTCCATGACATTCCATTATATGCTGATGCAGACAAAAAAATTCTCAACATGGTGGTGGAAATTCCTAGGTGGTCTAATGCTAAAATGGAGGTAGGTAATGGTATCAGGTAAAAAGGATATATATATTTTTTTCCAAATGCCAATTAAACTTGCTTGTTCAAAAATGTTAAGTGGAAGGTAAATGGTACATGTATAGGATAAAAAAAAAAAGGCAATTTTTGAAGACAGGAGCCTGTAATTCAGTGGTTGTTGTTTATTGCCATATATCGTATATGTTTTTCGTTTATTGTTATGCCCCATCTAGGGGCTTAATGTTTTTCGGTCTGTCCGTCCGTCTGTCCCGCTTCAGGTTAAAGTTTTTGGTCAAGGTAGTTTTTGATGAAGTTGAAATCCAACTTGAAACTTAGTACACATGTTCCCTATGACAATGTGTATGATATGATCTTTCTAATTTTAATGCCAAATTAGAGTTTTGACCCCAATTTCACGGTCCACTGAACATAGAAAATGATAGTGCGAGTGGGGCATCCGTGTACTATGGACATGATGGACACATTCTTGTTTTTAACATAAATCAGGCCGTTTGTTTTCTCTTGGATTTTTACTTTTTGTCATTTCAGGGCCTTTTAGATCTTACTATGTAGTATGTGTTTTGTACATAAATCAGGCCGTATTGTGACCTATATAGTTGTTAATTTCTACATCATTTGGTCTCTGGTGCAGAGATGTCTCATTTACAATTATACCACATCTTCATATTTTTATATTTCAAGTTTTTAAATCCCTATACTACTGGATAGTGTATAAATCTAAAAATGAACTAGACCAGGAAGGTTACCATAACCCATTCTGTGCTTAAGAATAACTTGATAGGTTGAAAGCTTATCCCGACATTAATATGTACACAAGATCTGTAGTACATTTGTAAGATATGGTCTGAATCATGTTTAATGTATGAAATAGCAGACAGGAAAACAAATATACAGATTAAGTTAAGACAAAAATCTTGAAATAAGATTTCTAGATTCTTTTGTTTTAGTGCCTCCCATTGGCTTCTTATTTCCATTAAATTTTATATATCAGTTTTACATGTGTACTTTATACCAAATTCTAAATTTTTACTTACCCATATGTTTTGAAATTAGATTTGGTAGGACACATGTGTTGATTAAATTTTAAAGCATATAGACCTTTTGGCCTGAATACTATTTGATCCTTTTTTTGTTTTTTATATAAAAACAAACTGCTGAAGTGCACATCTGGTTCAATGTGTAAAGAGACCTTTGTATCATGGTGCTATAATTTTTACCACTTTTACTATATCTGTATAGATTTTACAGGAATGTATTATAAATGTGGTACTATAGTTTTAGGAAAACAGTGCTACTTCAAACCCCATGCCATTGTGTTATTGAAATTACTGGAGATACATGTTACTCTGTCAGTATATATTTACAAATGTTCAGAACTTTTATTAATTTTCCAGGAAGTTTAAGGTTTGCATTCCATACTATCTTTAAAATGTTAAAATTGTTAAATAATTGTACATGTGTGAACTTGATTTTACCTTTTAAACAAAAACAAACAAAAAAGATGCAAGTAGTTCTCTTGTAATGTTAAAAAATATAGATGTTCCCAATTTTTAAATAAATATTTTCAGTGCAATATGCAAAAAAATCTCTTTCAGGTAACAATGAAACAAAAATGGATGACTGTTAAAATAAATATTTTGCCAGCAGAACATCAAATGTTTTGTATTTAACTTGCAAAAATGCAAAAATGTATATGCTATACATGTGTACTATGCTCTTGAACAAAGGAAATTATATATTATAAGGGAATAACACTGACCAAAATAAACCAAAATATTAAAATTCATCAATTGAAAATATATCACACATGAATAAAAGATCAGTTTTACTTATTTCAGACTGAAAGGAGAATTTTATAGTTTCGAATCAATGTAATCAATAATATTATATGTTTGTATTGATTTTTACTGTTCTTGAATTTTGGATAAAAGTATTCTTAAAATAATCAATTATCAGTACATGTATTTACTACATTATAAGTAACCTAATTACCATTTAAACCTGTCTTGTAGGAAGATTAACATGTAACATTTTATCTTTATTTTACAGATAAATAAAGAAGAAAAATTAAATCCAATAAGACAAGATGTGAAGAAAGGGGCACTACGCTATGTAAAGAATGTTTTCCCACATCATGGTTATATCTGGAATTACGGAGCTTTCCCACAGGTGAAGTAACGATTCTGTTTGTCTCGTTTTATTTACATTGATAAAAGCTAATATCCTAACAAGGTGTACTTTGATAGTTGGTAATCTTCTTGGACATGTATTTGTTATCTGCACTGAAAATGTGAATGCATGCAAGGAGGATTTAAAAATGGCAATTTTTGTCTATGCAGTTAATCAAAAGGCCACTTGTGCAAATAACTGGATTTTTTTTTAACATTGGATAAATAAAAAATGGTTTTGTGCAGGAGGAAGTTATGCATTGAAGTGTTACATGATTAAGTACAGTTGCATTGAAAGAAAAAAGCTAACCAAAATCCACTTTTTAATACAGGAAAAAAAAAGTTGGTTCATTTATTGACAATTTAAACCTTTAACCGATCAAGCAAATTGAAAAGATTATCTTGATAGATTAAAACAATCTGTAATGGAAACATGGTTTACTAGAATCTTTTATTTGTAGACATGGGAAGATCCAGACCATACAACAGAGGAAACTGGAACAAAGGGAGACAAAGATCCATTAGATGTCTGTGAAATAGGATATAAGGTATGAAGGTCTGATGGTATTTTCTAGGTAACACAAAGCTGAAGATCTAGTTTTAAATGATGAGTAAAAAGCATCTTATTTTTACACACCAACATATACTATAATCACTTCCAACCAAAATGTAGGCAATCTATGTTTGGTCTCATGAGATAGCTGCCCCATATAAATTACAGATCTATTGATAAATTGGACCAGACTTAAAAAGGAAAATGTCCTGGTTGATAAGATATGTGATACAGATTTATTATTCTCATTTTTATACATGTATGTCATTAAATATAAAACCTATTTTTTTAGGTACACCCAAGAGGGGCTGTGATACAAGTGAAGGTTCTAGGTACCATGTGTTTAGTTGATGAAGGTAATAATAATAGATAGCCTATGCATTTTTTATGTTCTGTGATGTTAAGGTGATTGGGTTATTTTTTGGGATAAAGATTGCATGAAAAGCCACTGGTTTGATATCTATATCGTCCAGGGTTTATCATTACCTTTGATAGTTAAAACAACATAGTGCAGTGAGGTGGACATTCTTTATATCCAATCCAGCCAATGTCATGCAATTTATTGATGATATGTTATACTCTGATATTCAAGTTACAAAATCATGTGTATTTGAATAACCATACTTGTCAAGAAAACTATTCTATTAAAAATCACATAAGTTTTGCATGGCATATTGATGAATATGTTATAAAAATAGTGTTCAACTATGAACAAAGTAAGATAACTCAATTCAAAAGATATTATTTGCCAAAATGTGTTCCATTGCCAGATACTTTTAAGTTCACATTGAAAAATGAAAGCAGCCTTTTCTCTTTAGTGCTTGTAAGCACATTGATTGTTGGGTTTGGCAGAATAAGATGACCTAATTTATGTAGTTTATTCTTATTCCTACACCCATAATGCAAATTTTGATTTTGATCTTTCTGTACAATATAAAATTAATGCATAAGCTTTTGCTCAGGAAAGTTTACAAGGCGAGACCTGTAATTTTTAGGCAGTTAAGCTGCCTTATGCGAGCACCCTAGATTTGTGTTCTACCCAATAAATGCTGAAATACGTGCCATTGTTATTATCTAGCTGGATATAATGTTATTTATAACTAATTGAATAGTTTTTTCATACTTTTAATTCTGGATTACAAAAATATGACCAGAAAAAACCTTAAATGATCGTCGAACCACCCAAAAGTTTTGAAGTTGCACATAGGAAGTAGAGCACATTAGGAATCCTTATGTAGTTTATTATCCCCTGTGCTTTTGGCTAAGATGTCCAAGAACAATTGTATGAAATATTTAATCGCCGAAAATCTTTAAAGACAAGTAGTTTAGATTTCCCAAATGGCAAAAATCGTAGGAATATTGTTTGTCGTCAATACGTGGTACAACTACGTCAGTAGTCTATTAATAAGTTCAACTGTTCATGCTGTTGGCGGCAATTTCAAATTAGAAGACGAAATTTTCGTATCTTTTCAATTTGGAGGCAGGGGTTCAAATTAGCGGTGGTCCGAGGTCCGCGACCTTCCACTTTTGCAATCGGACTCTCGACTTGGTTACTAGCTACGCCCGACGGACCTTTCACTTGAAAGAAATTAAAAATAACTTTGCAAACCTTTTTACCAAAGTCTCTAAATAAACGATCTCAAAACGTATTTTCATCTTTATTATTCATGACAGCGATGTTCATTTTGTTCAACCGCAAGCTTTATACAGATAATTGCCGACAAGTAATGTGTAAATTCGAGTAAAATCGTATCTGACTGACAAAGACAACATTGAAAAACAATGGATGCCGTGTAGACAATTACAATATCGGGTCCGATTCCGGAAGCGGATAAGGGTAATTCCGGGTTTTGATGATCAACTACAAAAAAACAATTTCAGGCAAGTGACAAAATACATCTATGCATGGTAAATAAATATAAACACTAGAAATGGAAACCAAAAGATATATGTAAAAGAAAGAAAAAGCAAAAAATAGTTGATACAGAAACTCAAAATTACTTTTTGACAAATTTTAATGTCAAAATCCAATACAATGTGACAGCTGGGAACAGTATATCTAACAATATATATGTTCCTGGTGACAGTATAAATCTTCTTTATCAGTGATAAATGTTGATAATGCATGTAAGATGCTTTTAAAGTGTAAACATATTACTGCAATTTTTTTCTCAATTTTGAAGGGTCAGTTAAAATAGCTGGAAGTTTCTTACTTTGTTTTCACAAATAGTGCAACTAGATTATATGATACCTGAATGTAAGCAAATCATATGATATATAGGTGGAATCCTTTGGGTCACTCTACCCCCTCCTGTTTGATAACTTTGAAACGGATGAGATCCCCACCCCTAAACCATATATATTCATGTATGGGACTATATAACTAATCAAATGAAATATAGGGGGAAGTCCCTAGGGTTACCCCACCCTCCTGTTTGAGAACTTGGAAACAGTCGAGATCCCCACCCCTAAACCATATATATTCATGTATGGGACAATATAACTAATCAAATGAAATACAGGGGAGTCCCTGGGGTCACCCCAACCCTCCTGTTTGGGAACTTTGAAATGGTCGAGATCCCAACCCCTAAACCAAATATATTCATGTATGGGACAATATAATAAATCAAATGAAATATAGAGGGAGTCCCTGCGGTCACCCCACCCCTCCTGTTTGAGAATTTGGAAACGGTCAAGATCCCAAGACAAGACAAGATAATTTATTTAAACTGACTTAAGCACACGTATGGTGCTACAAGAGGATAACAATTATACATTAACAATTACATATATACTTATACATTTACAAGCAAGACACACAATAAATAAATAAGTGATATCATACAATAAAATTGAAATAAACCATATTTGGTTGATTTGTTTGCAAAATTCTTAATTGCAACGTGGATATGAAGTTATTGTAACATGCTTTGTATTATGAAAATATTTTTTCAATATGTCTTAGAAACATGCACACTTTTGTTAGCAGTGGCACGTTACAGTGTGATAATAGACCAGTAAGTTTCAATTGGGAAGGATTTTGTGTGTAATATGTAGGTATATACCTTTCTCTTAAAGACATAATTTGTTCATTGGAGCATACAAAAAATAATGATCCCATAAACCATACATATTCATGTATGTGACAATATAACAAATGAAATGAAATATAGGGGGAGTCCTTGGGGGTCACCCCACCCCTCCTGTTTGAGAAATTGGAAACGGTCGAGATCCCCACCCCTTAACCATATATATTCATGTATGGGACAATATAACAAATCATATGAAATATAGGTTGAGTGCTTGGGGCCACTCTACCCCTTCCTGTTTGAGAATTTGAAAACGGTCGAGATCCCCACCCTAAACCATATATATTCATGTATGGGACAATATAACAAATCAAATGAAATATAGAGGCAGCTCCTATGGTCACTGTAAACCATCCTGTTTGAGAACTTGGAAACGGTCAAGATCCTCACCCCGAAACCATATATATTCATGTATGGGACTATATAACAAATCAAATGAAATATAGGGGAGTCCCTGCAGTCACCCCACACCTCCTGTTTGAGAACTTGGAAACAGTCGAGATCACGACCTCTAAATTAAACCATATATATTCATGTATGGGACAGCAGAACTTATGAAATGAAATATTGTCCTGTTTGATAACTTGGAAACAGATGAGATCCCCACCCCTAAACCATATATACTCATGTATTTGGCAATATAACCAATCAAATGAAATATAGGGGAAGTCACTGGGGTCACCCCACCCCCTCCTGTTTGAAAACTTGATAACGGCCGAGATCCCCACCCCTAAACCATATATATATTCATGTATGGGACAACATAAAAAATCAAATGAAATATAGGGGTAGTCCCTAAGGTCACCCCATCCCCTCTTGTGTGTGTTTTAAGAACTTGTAAAAGTTTGAGATACCAACTCCTAAACCATATTCATTCCTGTTCGTCATTTCAAACAGATTTGAATGACATACAAGGTCAATCTCATAGGCATCACATATGCATATCACTTTACTAGACCTAATCAATGTGTACTAGACTTTGCCCAATGTCAGGCGACCATGGGAATGAATAATTATGGGAGCTTTGTTTGGGAGACTTCTTAACAGCATTCTGTTACAATTATTTCTTGTTTATTATAAAATTTTATTGATGCAAAAAATGAGTAGGTTTAAAGAATTTACCTTAATTATATTTTGAATAATTTCTGGTTCTATAAAAAAATTCATTTTAATATGGCTCATTTTAAAGAAAACATATCTTTCAAGCCCAAGAATGTTTGACCAACTTTATTATAATCATCTGTCATTTTATTCCAAACTTAGACATCATGGACTTGGGGTGAAGGCGGGGGTCATTTACATTTACTATGGGCAGGTCAGTCAGACCTCACCTTTGATCCCCGTAGTAGTAAACATTTGTCTGATTTGTGTCTCATAACTTTTGCACTGTAGAACACAAACTCAGTTTTCTTTCCAGGGAAGCAAGTCCATGCATACTATTACAAGCTGGTACTAAGTCAACTTGAACTACTAACAGTCAACTAATAACCAACGTTAACTATCAACTAGAACAACTGCAATCATTTCGAACTTGTACCACTGCAGACACATGACCATTAAAAATATACTTGATATATGCGTTGCTTTTGAAAACCTTGATAAAATATGAATTATTTGCCTTAATAATTAATTCATAAAATGAACATAAATGCACAATATATGAATGTTTAATGTTTGTTCTTTTAAATCTTAAAAAAAATGAAGCAACATAGCCACAGTTTTCATAATTATGTTTGCCTTGGTTTTTGGTTAACTGCCTACAGCGCTTACAGTGCTTTGATTTTTTTGGAGGGGGGGTTTAATCGGTGAAAATATAATGGCATTCAAGGGGGATTTTAATGAAAGTTATGTAAAGCATTGAATTAAGTGGAAAACTTATATTAACTAAAATTGGCTGTCCTTTTTTTGTGGGAGTTATTTCCCTTAACTGCAATATGTTAGCAATGTTTCAAATGAAAGTTTTACTATGATTCATTTAACAGCAGGAAGTGCATTATTGTCAACTTTACACATATAAGTTTTGCAAACTAAAATGTTATTCCATAATCATGTAATAATTATCTCTAATTTATAGTTTTTTTTATTCGATCAATATTTATTTTATTACATTAGAATATAATTATACTTTTTAAAGTCATTCTATTGGATAACAGTCAACATATTTGTTTCATTCAGGAACATCTATGAGCTGTATTAATCACAAATGCCATCATAAAACTGGTCTAAATGTTTGCAAATCATAACAGCTGTTACACAATTTATTAATGATTCAATAGTTATTAGACAATGATTTGTGGGTTTTCTTTCAAATTTTCAAATGAAGCATTCAACAAAAAAATCTGCAATTTCATTCATAAATATGTTCAAAATCTTAATCAACATAAAAACACTTTTAAAGGATTATTTAGTTATATATTTAGCTAATATATTTCAGGCAAAAAAGTTGATGTGTAATTTATGTTGATTTATTTACATTAGAAATCACCGATTCACCTATAATTCTTATTGAATAGTCTCTGTCTGTTTGAGTTTGATTAAGAGAGGTATACACCACTAATATAGACCAGTTTTTATATTGTTCCTAAAGAAGGAGAGGGGATGTAATATCCTCATATTTCTAGTACACTGCATAGAAGAACAAAAAGTGTTGCTGACATCCCCACTCCTGCACTTCTATGTTTAGTTGTATCGAGGACGAAATGACTATTTAGTTCTTCGATAAATCTGTCACTGTTTATTATTCCACTTAATGCATAGTATATGTTTTGTATTTCATAGTTTGCATTTCAATGAACAATTCAGTTTTCAACTTACTATATTATAATTCAACATGACATAAATGTCTTTTGGTTTGTTTTTGTCGAGCCTGCAACTTTTGTCGCAGAAAGCTCGACATAGGGATAGTGATCCGGCGGCGGTGTTAGCTAACTTCTTAAAAGCTTTATATTATAGAAGCTAGAAGACCTGGATGCTTCATACTTTGTATATAGATGCCTTATGTTACGAAGTTTCCGTCTGTCATATGTCCATTGTCCTTGACCTCATTTTCATGGTTCAGTGACTACTTTAAAAAAAGTCAACATTTTTTGTAATGTTAATTTCTTTCTTATTATGAGTAATAGGATAACTATATTTAGTATGTGCGTACCTTGCAAGGTCCTCATGCCTGTCAGACAATTTTCATTTGACCTCGACCTCATTTTATGGATCAGTGAACAAGGTTAAGTTTTCGTGGTCAAGTCCATATATCAGATACTATAAGCATTAGGTCTACTATATTTGGTATATGGAATGATTGTAAGGTGTACATGTCCAACTGGTAGGTGTCATCTGACCTTGACCTCATTTTCATGGTTCAGTGATCAAAGTTAAGTTTTTGAGTTTTGGTCTTTTTTTCTAATACTATATGCAAAAGGTCAACTATATTTGGTGTATGGAAATATTTTATGATGTACATGTCAGTCTTGCTGGTTTTATTTGACCTTGACCTCATTTTCATGGTTCATTTCTCAGTTTTTGTGTTTTGGTCTGTTTTTCTTCAACTATAAGCAATAGATCAACTATATTTGTTGTATGGAAGGATTGTAAGGTGTATATGTCTGTCTGGAAGGTATCATCTGACCTTGACCTCATTTTCATGGTTCATTGGTCAATATTAAGTTTTCATGGTTAAGTTTGTTTCTTAGATACTATAAGCAATAGGTCAACTATATTTAATGCATAAATTGATTGTATGGTGTACATGTCTGTCTGGCATGGTTCATCTGACCTTGACCTCATGTTCATGGTTCATTGGTCAATGTTAAGTTTTCTTGGTTAAGACTGTTTCTTAGAAAATATAAGCAATAGGTCAACTATGTTTGGTTTATTGAATGATTGTAAGGTGTACATGTATTTCTCGTTTGGTTTATCTGACCTTGACCTCATTTTCTTGGATCATGTTAAGTTTATGTGTTACTTGTAGTTAAGCTTTATATTTAGGACTATCAACATAAAATCAATGGTTAGTAAAGAAGGCGAGACATTTCAGCGTGTGCACTCTTGTTGTCATTGGATTGCTGTCTCTTTGACTTATACCCAAGCTCTTTTCTTAGAAAATGTCATACTTTCATTGAAATCTTTTTTTTCAATTTGATCAAGGGTCTATTACATTACAAAATATAAACTTGTGTGAAAGTGTTGAGGGAGTTGCACTTTAATATTGAGAGAAGAAGAGGGAGTTGAACTTTAATGTTGAGAGAAGAAAAGTAAGTTTTCATATGTTTACATTTCAGGTGAAACAGATTGGAAAATAATAGCTATAGATGTCACAGATCCATTAGCCAAAGATTTAAATGGTAAGACAGTCAAAAAAGTTGTTCAATAGGGAATATCTTATATGATACTGGAGTGAAATATCCCAGATAATCATGAAATTTGATTGGTTACCTTGACAGGGGATATAAGCCCATATCCTGTGTTAGTAAAAAATTTCAAAATGGTAAACAAAGTTAAAATCTGGACGCTCTAGTATAAAATAATTGTTACTTGGGCTTCACATGGGATATGGGCTCGTATTCCCTATCTGTGCCCTATATCTCCTTTGTCTGATAGCTCAGGGAATAGGAGTTCATATCACGTGTGACGATTGTGAATTACATATAATTTAACAGTTCCTAAGTTACACACATTTTTTGCAAGTTGTATACCAAAGGTATATTCTGTTTGTCATCTACATTTTGTAAATGAAACACCTGCAATAACCAGATATTGAATATTAATGAAACAGAGCAAAGCCATAAGTCCATAACCTAACTTTTGAATGCTTCCTCATTATTTCATATATTTTGGTATGTTAAAATTGACCATTTGTTATTTTTTTTACAGATGTTGATGATGTAGAAAAATTTATGCCAGGATTTTTAAAGGTTTGTATGAAAAAATGACATTAAAACTGAACTGTTCTCATCTGCTCAATTCAGAACATTAGTATTTATTGCTCTGCCATCCCTTACTGTCTGGAGATGTGGTATGATTGCCAATGAGAGACCTATCCACTATAGACCAAGCCATCCCTTACTGTCTGGAGATGTGGTATGATTGCCAATGAGAGACCTATCCACTATAGACCAAGCCATCCCTGACTGTCTGGAGATGTGGTATGATTGCCAATGAGAGATCTATCCACTATAGACCAAGCCATCCCTTACTGTCTGGAGATGTGGTATGATTGCCAATGAGAGACCTATCCACTATAAATCAAGCCATCCCTTACTGTCTGGAGATGTGGTATGATTGCCAATGAGAGACCTATCCACTATAGACCAAGCCATCCCTTACTGTCTGGAGATGTGGTATGATTGCCAATGAGAGACCTATCCACTATAGACCAAGCCATCCCTTACTGTCTGGAGATGTGGTATGATTGCCAATGAGAGAACTATCCACTATAGACCAAAGGATCAGGATGTAAACAACTATAGCCCTGTATGGCCTTTAACAATGAACTAATGAGCTAAACCCCCTATTGTTTAATGAGCTATAAAAGAAACTGGCTAGACAAAATGTGAAATAATTCAATAAAGAAAACAAGCAGCCTTACTTATGCTAAAAACAAATATGGTAGACAGGAATTAAACCACTGATACATAAACATAGGATATGGAGACAGCAATTAAACCACTGATACGTGAACATAGGATATGGAGACAAAAGAGTTTTATATTTTCTGTTTCAGAATGCCATTTGCTGTCTTGTATGTTATTTGGGTAGACATTTTGTATTACCTCTTCTTTACATTTCTAAATACACTTGATTGTTGTGTTTGTCACTATGTTAGAGGGTTGTACAGGGTGGAAATACTCAGTATGTAACCCAGTTTGTCACTCTGTTAGAGGGTTGTACAGGGGGGAAATATTCAACAATTTGTCTGTCATGTTTTATCCAATGAATTAATGCAGGATTTGATTTGTGGGTGTGTAATAAGGGTTGATTTGAATAATATATTAAAAATTGCATTTGTATTAGAACTTGTCAAAAGGAAAGGAGAAAAATAGTTAACCTATGAGTTTAGAATTATGTATGATCATGACAATTCCTTTAAGAGAAAATATCCATAACTCTTGCTATGTGGGTCAATAGGAAAAAATATAGATTAAAAAGACCTATACAACCCTCATTTTATCTACTAATTTTACTCCATGATAAAAATGCATTTTTAACATGACCAAAATTTTTGTTCAACTGTAAAATAAAAAGAACCAAAATTTTGAAAAATGTTTAAGTTTAAGAAGGCCTAACCTCTTCTAACTCTTCAGTATGGATGCAAAATTCAAGTTTGATAACATTTTTTTTGTATTCTGAAGGATTTATCTTTATTTGTAAACTTTTTTAAATATTCAATGTGTAGCGATTATTTACTTAAAGATTTAAACCATCATAGCAAAATTTTTCACAGATTTTAGGAAATTTTGGTGTAAATGCTCTTTCAATGTCTGACTGAAGGTCAATAGGTCATCAAATTGTTTTTATTTAATCCTCATATTAATTGGCACAATGCATATCTGGCTTTCAAATATTTACTGGTGCAGTGGAAACCAACAATTCTTGCCATCAAGTTTGGTATGCCTGAATGTTAGTGAACTTATGTATAATATTTGGTCAGAAATTTATCCTTGCTGATTTTTATCCAAGCTCAAAATATGATTTTACAATCAAATTCAGGCATTTTAGACAGTTGCATTATTGATTTTTGGTGATAGTTCCTCCCTTGACTTGATCTCCTTCCCTTCTTTACAACTGTTCAAACAGATGTAAATAAAGTTATTTTTCTGAAAATAGACAAAAAGCGGGAGGCTTTAGATACAAATGAATCTAAAAGACAACTTCATTATGTATTGCCTTGCGAAAAAGTTGTTAGTTAGGGCACATTCTGGAGGTCTGTCTTCAGTTGCGTGAAATTCAGTAAAATATGATTTGGACAAAAACACAAAATGTGCATTGAATTCTGATAAAAAAAAAAAATTTTTTTGTCAACAATAGAATATTTCCTGACCTCTTGGGTAGCCTATTTTTAACTAAATTTCACTCTAATCACATCTTCTATTTAAAATCTATGATTTTGGCATTAAAAGGGAATTTACAAGTAAGATAAAAGTTTCTAAATAAAGGTAAAGGTTTGAGCTCTTGAATCTTAGCCCTGTTTCACAAAGTGCAAATCCAGCTTACAGTATTCTTGAATTTGGGTAGTTGGGTGGGCTTGGAAAATAGGGTACTTATATTTATCAGCTCTTCCTACATATTTCAACCAAAAAAAATAAAACTTTTTTTGTGAGTTCACTTGCAATTCCATTTAAAAAAAGGAGATGTGGTATGATTGCCAATAAAACAACTATCCCCCAGAGTTCAAATACGTGGATATAAGTATTTTATCTCTTTTAGCACTGTCTATTTGAGTGTATTTGCTATGACAAGATTTTGTTTTTTAAATGTGTTTGTTGTGTCTTTCCTTAACTTTCCTTTACCTGTGTAACATCTATATATGAAGTAAAGAATTATGTTTTCATCTGCCAAAACAGTTCCTCCTAGATTTTTTTTTATTAAAAGAATGTGTGGTATGATTGCCAATGGGACAACTATCCATAGACCAAAGAACAAAGGTGTGATTATTTACAATTGACCGTACATATGTTGTACATACTTTCATTTACTGTTTGATATTTCAATTATTTTGAACTTACTACTCAACTGTTTAATTTTAGATATTAAAACACAGGTAAAAGTTAAACAAAATCGGTACTCTACTCAAAATACCATATATAAGAATGTGTGCAGTGACTTATCTGTTGCCTAGATTTGAAGCTTTTTTTACTTATATTCATTGATAACTGCTATGAGTAGATTTTATCAAGACTAAATACATGTGGATATTTTAGGGCAAATCATCAAACATTTCATGTTATGCTTTTCCTGTACATGAGGTAAAATATTACTAGTTAAAATTAGAATGGGAGTTTTGATGATTGCAATTTTTGCACAGTATTTAAATCACTCAATTAATTTCCGAATTTACAGTTCTGTATTTCGTTTTCAGGCTACAAACGAATGGTTTGCAATTTATAAGATGCCAGATGGTAAACCCAAGAATAATTTTGGATTTAATGGAGAATGTAAAAATAGGGTAGGTTTATTGTGTAGTACTAGTTATATGTGTATTATATCAAAAAATTTGTTAGTGACTTTACCATAAAATAATATGATAAAAAAATATACAAGAACAAAATGATTTAAATTTATATCTCAATTATTCATAATTCAATAACCTTTTCCATGCCATTCTTGGAAAGTCTGCTTTTGTGTAAAGGAGTTTATTTTTATGCCCCCTCCACTACTAAGTTTTACCCTTGTCCGTCTGTACATACGTACGTCCCAAAATTGACTTCCGTTCTCTAACTTGAGTTTGCCTCAACCAAATGTTATGAAACTTATACACAATGCTAATTACCACAAAACACAGATGAAGTTTGAATTTTGGTGCGTCACTTTAACCGTTCTAGAGTTATGCACCTTTATAAATGTAAAAAATGCAAAATTTTTAGTTTCTGTTCTCTAACTTAAGTTTGCCTCAACCAAATTTTATGAAACATATACACAATGCTTATTACCACCAAATACAGATCAAGTTTGAATGTTGGTGGGGTCACTTTAACCATACTCGAGTTATGCCCCTTTATAAATGGAAAAAAATGCAAAATTTAGTTTCCGTTCTCTAACTTAAGTTGCCTCAACCAAATGTTATGAAACTTATACACAATGCTAATTACCACAAAACACAGATGAAGTTTGAATTTTGGTGCGTCACTTTAACCGGTCTAGAGTTATGCACCTTTATAAATGTAAAAAATGCAAAATTTTTAGTTTCTGTTCTCTAACTAAGTTTACCTCAACCAAATTTTATGAAACATATACACAATGCTTATTACCACCAAATACAGATCAAGTTTGAATTTTGGTGGGGTCACTTTAACCATACTCGAGTTATGCCCCTTTATAAATGGAAAAAAATGCAAAATTTTTAGTTTCCGTTCTCTAACTTAAGTTGCCTCAACCAAATGTTATGAAACTTATACACAATGCTTTTTACCACAAAACACAGATCAAGTTGAATTTTGGTAGCGTCACTTTAATAATTATCGAGTTATGCCCCTTTTTATAAATCGAAATATTGCAAATATTTAGTTTCCGTTCTGTAACTTAAGTTTGCCCCAACCAAACATTATGAAACCTATACACAATACTTATTATCTTAAAACTCAGATCAAGTACAAATTTGGGTAGCGTCACTTTTATCGTTCTTGAGTTATGTCCCTTTATTATGTTGTATGCAAGTGGGGGCATCATCTGTGTCCATAGGGACACATTCTCCATTTATTTGTGGAGTTTAAGTTTCATGATTTCAATCATCAAGCCTGTTTGTCAGGTATTATTTTCGTGTTTTTAGTCTCGAATACTTGTACAACTCCAAGATCAAATTTATAAAAGGTGATATTTCCGTGATTTTATCGAAATTATAAGAATAGACTTGAGAAAATTTCCCACTTCACAGTAATTGGTCTTACTTCACACAGTTGTTGCCTTTGACTTTTTCATGATCTTGTCTTATGATTATATCTTAAAAGTCCAGATGTTTTCTGATGCATAATTGCATATGTTTAAATGGTGTCCAGACTACACCTTGCACTGCATTATTGCTTGAATTTGCATCAATATCATATGTTGAAATAGGTAGCGCTGAACATATTTGGTGCTATTGACCAAGGCTGGGGTGGTGACATGAATCTGAGTTCACTTTAGCATAGCATTAAAATAGACAGTCTTTTCTGATAGCAAAATGTGATAATTAATTGGGATAGTACCTTGGGCAGGTGGCTCTTATTGTTTCCATGCAATAACTTTCCAAAGTATAAAATAAATGGTGGATGTGGTCAGTATGGTTATTCCATGTATTACAATTGATATGCACAAATAGGATTATTTTAGACTATTGCAATTCAAATATTTTATTATGCAAGGAAAGCTTGACAAACATAAAACATTTCATTTGACATTTGTGTATTCATTTAAGGAGAATTTACAATAATAAAAGTTCTACTTTTTTAGGCATTTTCAGAAAAAGTGATAAAGGAATGTAATGAACAATGGCAGCGATTAATAGGAAAACAAGTAGAATGTGATGATTTAGCCTGGTAAGTATATAATGGTGATATGATATGGTACTACAAGTTACTGTTTAATGGGAAAACAAGTAGAATGTGATGATTTAGCCTGGTAAGTATATAATGGTGATATAATATGGTACTACAAGTTACTGTTTAATAGGAAAACAAGTAGAATGTAATGATTTAGCCTGGTAAGTATATAATGGTGATATAATATGGTACTACAAGTTACTGTTTAATGGGAAAACAAGTAGAATGTGATGATTTAGCCTGGTAAGTATATAATGGTGATATAATATGGTACTACAAGTTACTGTTTAATAGGAAAACAAGTAGAATGTAATGATTTAGCCTGGTAAGTATATAATGGTGATATAATATGGTACTACAAGTTACTGTTTAATGGGAAAACAAGTAGAATGTGATGATTTAGCCTGGTAAGTATATAATGGTGATATAATATGGTACTACAAGTTACTGTTTAATAGGAAAACAAGTAGAATGTAATGATTTAGCCTGGTAAGTATATAATGGTGATATAATATGGTACTACAAGTTACTATTTAATAGGAAAACAAGTAGAATGTAATGATTTAGCCTGGTAAGTATATAATGGTGATATGATATGGTACTACAAGTTACTGTTTAATAGGAAAACAAGTAGAATGTAATGATTTAGCCTGGTAAGTATATAATGGTGATATGATATGGTACTACAAGTTACTGTTTAATAGGAAAACAAGTAGAATGTGATGATTTAGCCTGGTAAGTATATAATGGTGATATGATATGGTACTACAAGTTACTGTTTAATGGGAAAACAAGTAGAATGTGATGATTTAGCATGGTAAGTATATAATGGTGATATAATATGGTACTACAAGTTACTGTTAAATGGGAAAACAAGTAGAATGTAATGATTTAGCATGGTAAGTATATATTGGTGATATAATATGGTACTACAAGTTACTGTTTAATAGGAAAACAAGTTTCACTCAGTTCATGCAGCAAAATCTTTAATACATTTGTTTATGCTGTTAGGTTTGTACTATATATGAATTTGACAGTTTGAACCAAAGAAAAGTTCCAGTTTTCAAGTCCTCAAAAATTAATTGAAATAGCATTAAAAAAATTCCGGACCCTGATTATAAGTTTGATTTGCTACTATATTTAGTGTTAAAGCATTAAACTAACAGATTCTAAAATTATTGAATGAGTAATGATGTTATTAAGTGGTGAATTCTTTTATTTCAGTGAAAACACAACAGTAGCAGGCAGTCCATTTAAAATAGAACAAAGTGATGCTGAAGCAATTGTTAAAAAGGTTTGTTATTTGTACCTTGTTAAGCCTTACCCTTTGGAAATGAATATTTTGTTCAAATTAGACAGGTTAAGTTGACAGAATTTATTGTGTTTATAGTCAGGTGTTAGTAGTAAGCAGGTTACTGATTTGTTGACAGTTTCCACTGTGTTCAAGTTAACATTGCAACTTGGAACCTTTCTACTGCTCTTAAAAACAGCACTGTTGATAGACTAATTAATATAAATTACTTTGTGTAATACATGTAGGATGAACGATTATACAATTAGCTTGATGGTTAGAATGAATGAGGCATTTCTGTGATATCAAGATATATGATAACAGACTACACGAATGAATTTTATTTTTACAGGACATTCGGTCTGGTAAACAACCTAGCTTTACCAGACCGAATGAAATTTTACCAGACCAATTTTTTTTACATCTAATTGTATATTATCCAACAAAATACAACAAACTTATGACTTGTTGTGCCGTACTCCTCTCCAAAATGCACAAAAACAAAATCGTGTGACAAGAGTGTATATTTTGATGAAAGTTGTGCACAAATGCTTGAATGCATTTCAGTGACAAAGAAAAGTAATGTCACATTTTATTGGATTTTGACATGAAAATTATTTGTGAACTAAAAATAATTTAGAATTTCTGTATAAAATATTTCCTGTTTCTTCTTTCTTTTTCATATATCTTTTGGTTTTCAATTCTAGTGTTTATATTTCATACTCATAGCTGTATTTTGTTACCTGCTTGAATTTTTTTTTATTTATTTAATGTATTTGATCGGCAAACCCGGAATTAGCCTTATCCGTTACCAGAATCTGATCCGGTATTGTCTACATTTCCGGTTGATGGCAGCCATTGTTGTTTTTGTCAGTCAGATATGTTTTTTCCCGGATTTACACATTACTTGTTGGCGATTTTCGGCATAAAGCTTGCAGTTGAACAAAATAAACATAACTGTTATGAATAATAAAGATGAAAATTAATTTTGAGATCGTTTGGGATTTTGCTAGAATGCTTGAAAAATCCATGAAATAAACAACACCTGACATTCGGACCGGAATTCAACAAAATTTTACCAGACCGATCCATTATTCACCGGATTTGTCCGACGGTCCGACGAATCGTGTAGTCTGCGATAAAATTTAAGACTCTGATATCATGAAAATATGGAATTTGGATTAAAAAATTATTGAATGAAATTATTTTAAATGGTGGTCATTTATAAATTGCAATTGTTGCTGAATTTATCCATAAGATTTTATGAAGTACAGAAATATTTATGTATTTTACAGAGTGCAGAGCCAGGATCAGCAAAAGATATATCAGATACAGGTATGCATAATGCATTTATTACTAGTAATTTATTTATGTCACCAGTTTGTCTCTGATTCCTTATACAATAAGATACAATAGGATTACGTTAGTGGTTGTGTATAAAGGTTAATTTGAAGGATACATTATATAGTTCAGATGATAATTAAACATTAATATCATAGACAGAAATCTGCAATACTGATTCTGATTAACATTAGAAATAAGATTTATCTCCCCTTCATAATGAATTTTGTCAATCTGTGTTACAGTATACTTTGAAAGTGTTAATATTCAATGACTAGATTGTTAATAATTATACCCCCGCTTTAAAAAAGTGGGGGTATACTTTTTTACCTCTGTCTGTCCATCCATCCGTCAGTCCGTCCATCCATCCCATGAATATTTTTCGTCACATCTTTCTCAGGAACTACATCATAAGGATTTCTGAAATTTGGTTTCAGGGTTTATATAAGTCAGCTATACCGTGTGATGCGTTTTTCAGATTCATCACTCAACAACTTTCTGTTTACCGAACACTTACATCATTTTACACATAACATCCAAGTTGAAAATTTTCGTCACATTTTTCTCAGGAACTACATTACAAGGATTTCTGAAATTTGGACTCATGGTTTATATACCGTGTGATGCGTTTTCAGATTCATCACTCAATAACTTCCTGTTTACCGTCAAGTATTTGGGCTGGGGGTATCATCAGTGAGCAGTAGCTCGCAGTTTCACTTGTTATTTAATTGTTTCATGGTTCAGTACAAAACCAAATCAAATACAAATTTCCAATGTGCACAAATTTAAGAATTCATGAACTGCAGAAACTGCAAGAAACAATGGTATTAAACTGACTATAACTATCAACAAAAGATGACAGAGACAAAAAAAAAAACAATAAGGAAGAATACATTTATTATTAGCTATGAATATAAAAGATAAAAATCTGAAAACAAAATAATTTTCGCTCTTAATTGGTATTAATCATGCATTAATAGGATAATCATGTGTTTAAAAATCAGAATTTTCAATAGAGAGAGGATGAAGATGCTTATATAATCTTTTTTAATTTCAGTTGACAAATGGTACTACGTAAAATTGTGAGAGACATTCTACATAGTTCTTAAAGCCAGCTCATCTTTATCTCTACTTATTTTAATTTGTCAAACTAGTAACATATCTGTGGATTTAGTTGTGAACATTTTATCTATATATAATTTGTCATTTTGATTTATATTTAGCAATTACTTTTTGGAAATTTTACAATTTTCAGCCACATGACAACTTATTTAGCATTAGATCATTAATGTCTGTTATTATTTGTCTAGATAGATTGTTAATTTTGTGAGGGTTATGTGTATATGTGCAGTATTATGTGTAATCAAAAAACATTCCTTACAAAATTTTTCAAATTGAAACTTATTGAATTGATCATGTGTGTACTTTAAATAGGAATGTTTTGTACTAAGAAATCCTTTATTGTATGTAATCTGAAAAGGACCCACCAAATTTGCAGCATAATTTTACCGATGTTTATGGAAAGTGTAATTTGTAATATCAATACAATGTCATTACTATGCAGGGATCATGTGATAAGTAGAGGAAGAAAGTATTTATTTATTTATCCTACCACATAGCCAACTATTGTTTGTTAATAAATCTCAGTTTTGTTCTTAATTTGAAGTTTAGTGATAGATTAATTTTTTAGAAGAAATTTAAAATGTAGTCTTACGATTTAAACATTTACCTATAATCTATTGGCCAAAAAGTATATTGCATTGGATTTTTGATGCAGGAACTAAATCAATTTCTTTATAATCAAACTTTATTATCTTTTAACCTTTTAAATTGATAATTTATTGTACACCTTTCATTACTGCAAACCTGAATATTTTGATTAAGCATTACTTTTATTATTTGGTTACAAGCTTATTTTTAATTATATTTTTTTTGTTGCTTAAAGTGTTGAAATCTGATTTATTATCTTTTTTTCAATGAAAATATTGATATGGTAAAATATTAACTATTTAATCAAACATGTAATAAAAGGCTTTATCTCGGATTTGAAAAATTGTCTCCATTTAAAGATTAGATTTTAAAATCATATACTAAAGATGTTAGATATTTAGTACAAGAATACCAGTATGCTAGTAAAAACGCAATACAGCTTGACCATTGAAGTCGCATAAAAACAAGTTTAAATGAAAATGTATTTATCTATTCTATTGTATGGTAGATGTGGAAAATGAACTGATTATATATTTAGATTTGACATTATAATATAAATATAAAACCTGCATACAGTAATATATTTTGTGTGAAGTGCCTTTGTAATGTTTGTCTTTTCAGCTTACAGTGAAGTGTCACAATAAAATGTTTGATGGTTAAATGATATAATATTTATTATTAAATTGATTTTGTCTGTTTTGATTAATTTTTTATGCTCAATATATGGAAAATTAAAGATCTTTGAAGTTTGGTAAACTATGTGTTCATTAATTTCATGCCTTCTATATCTATGATTCTATGTTAAAAACCATACCACATCCATTGCAATTCAAATCAATACAGCCAAACAGTCAATTAAATGGCTGCTTATTTATGATAAATGACTTGATTGGACACCACAGCAAAATTAACCATCAACCAGAAACTAGCTTTTTGACAATAAAAAAAATGATATAAGACACACATGAAAGTTAGAAAGGTTTTTTTATAGCCATAAAAACAGCTGGGTTTTTAGGAATAAAAAAACCCTTCCCTCCGTATTTAGGTTGTACAAACAAAAATCAGAAATGATTTATGGCTGACAAAACATGGCTAATTGGCGATTAGACCATGTATAGGCCATATTTCATGATTACTTAACACAACAGTGCTTTATAGTGGAAGGTTTGAAGGTTGGCAAATCAATGCCTTACATTTTAGTTTGAGGTTACACTAGAATTAATGTTGAATTGGACAATTTATAAATGTTTCCATCTCTGAAGGTCAAAATATTTTAAAACCTTGATCAGTAGGAGACCCTAGGTTCATACAGATGTCACACTTATCCAGTTATCTATAACTCCTAGTATACAGAAAACAAATCTAAAAATTCTAATCAAACCACTGGATTTTGAGAATGAAATAAAAGCAAAAAAATGTATGACACAAATACTCTCAAAAGAAATCCTACCTACTGTATTGTCCTGTATTTAGTCAATTTTATAGTTGAAGAACACAATCATACAACTACATCAAGTTTTTGGTGGGGCTATTTTGCTGGACTTTTAGTTTTTCTGGATGTTTTTTGGACTGTTTGAATTTTAGTAATTTCTCTTTCAGCCATGGCATTGTTCTTTGACTTTAATAACGTTCTTTTACTTCCGGAGGCAGCTTCTGCTAGCCCTAACCAATAATGCATACTAGTTCAGCGAAATGGACACCACACCAAAATTCGAAACATAGAATAAAATTCATGACTAAAATCTCTTTTTTGCTGATTATTTGAACTATTTTACAATATCTCTTTACCTACTATAGTTGTTTACCTAAATATAAAAAATTGGGTAAAAAAAAATCGACATTTAAGGACAAAAACTACTGTAAGTAGTCTACCAACTATTTCAGCAATATTGACTTATTTACATTTACTTTTGTAATAAAACATATGAAAATGGTTGAATTAACTATTTATGGAGTGTAAAAATTTCTTTATTATGTGCTTTTGATTTTGTTGACAGTTATGTCTTTTCAACTCTTTATTCTACACTTCCACACAATCTTATCAAACATAGTTTTCCTATTTGATTAAATGGTCGTTTGAAAAATCTGATTGCAACTCATTTAAAGCCCTGATGAGAAATGAGAAAGGTAAATATGCTAGATATACATACTTGACTGATTGATTGGTGTGTAATGCCACTTTCAGCACTATTGATCTATTGTTCTATTTCGTGGCTGTCAGTTTTTATTAGCTCACCTGACCTGAAAGGTCAAGTGAGCTTTTCTCATCACTTCGTCCGTCGTCCGTAAACTTTTACAAAAATCTTCTCCTCTGAAACTACTGGGCCAAATGCACCCAAACTTAAACACAATCATCATTAGGGTATCTAGTTTAAAAAATGTGTCCGATGACCCCGCCAACCAACCAAGATGGCCGCCATGGCTAAAAATAGAACATAGGGGTAAAATGTAGATTTTGGCTTATATCTCTGAAACCAAAGCATTTAGAGTAAATCTGACATAGGGTAAAACTGATTATCAGGTCAAGATCTATCTGCCCTGAAATTTTCAGACAAATCTGACAACCTGTTGTTGGGTTGCTGCCCCTGAATTGGTAATTTTAAGGAAATTTTGCAGTTTTTGGTTATTATCTTGAATATTATTATAGATAGAGATAAACTGTAAACAGCAATAATGTTCAGCTAAGTAAGATCTACAAATAAGTTGTCATGACCAAAATTGTCAGTTGACCCCTTTAGGAGTTATTGCCCTTAATAGTCAATTTTTAACAATTTTTCGTAAATTTTTGTAATCTTTTACAAAAATCTTCTTCTCTGAAACTACTGAGACAAATTTAACCATACTTGGCCATAATCATTATTAGGGTATCTAGTTTAAAAAATTTGTCCGATGACCCCGCCTTCCAACCATCATGGCCAACTTAGATAAAAATAGAACATAGGGGTAAAATGCAGTTTTTGGTTTATATCTCTGAAACTAAAGCATTTAGAGCAAATCTGACGACCCGTTGTTGGGTTGCTGCCCCTGAGTTAGTAATTTTACAAAAATTTTGCAGTTTTTTGTTATTATCTTAGATATCATTATAATATCTAATATCTAATACTATTAATTATGATTTTAACCTTATTTTACATGATTTCCAAAGCATCAGTAAATACAGGTGAGCGACACAGGCTCTTGAGAGCCTCTAGTTGTTAGAGGAAGCCAGAATGCCAGGAGAGAACCATGACGTTCGATAGGAAAACTGACAATCCTAGTCAAATAAGATTGTAGTCGAGGGCACCTGCCATGTGCGGGATTTGAACTCACAACCTCAGTGTTGACAGGCTAGTGATACAGTAGTTAGACTATTTAGACCACTTGGCCATCAAGGCCCTTATACTTACTGGAGGTATGATGAGTTGATTGAAGCTGTTAATTTTCTCCTTGAAAACATTTTTATGTACGTTTCGGCAATATGGTGTATCAACAGGTTATAGATATTCCTATGGGCACCAATTGCGCCCCTTTAATAGCAGACTTGTTTTTGTACCGTTATGAATCACAGTTTATGGCCAAACTCAGTTAAGACCCATCTAAATTGCATTTAAATTAAAAAATTCAACAACACTTATCTTGACAATATTTTTTCTTAAATAATCAAGAATTTTCTAAATCTACTGAAATTTACCCAAAGAAACTGACTTTTAATAAATCAAATATAAACGGGAAAAAAACTGTCCTTTCCTAGATTTAGATATTTCAGTTTACCTGTATGTTGGCATTGCACAAGGTAATATTTTTTCTCTGACTATTAATGATGTCTTTACACTAAATCCATTGGATGTTGGATGTGTGCTGATTGATATTTTAGTCTTTGATACATGATTTTTTTTATTGGTGGTTATTGGCTTTGAACTAGCTGTCAGTAACTGTGATGACTCTCAGATCTGTACTTAATGTCTATTTTGTTGTGGGGATGTATAAATACCCTGCCATGTCCAGTCTGCTTTTGTTGCTTGTTTTTCTGCTTTGTATAGATCTGATGAGTTAAGTCCTTTTTAACTGATTTTTATAGTTTCTTCATATGCTGTGCTGTTACACCACTGTCCCTGGTAAGGGGAGGGTTGGGGCCCGCAAACATGTTTAACCCGCCACATTCTGTATGTGCCTGTCCCAGGTCAGGAGCCTGTAATTCAGTGGTTGTCATTTGTTGCTGTATAAAATATTTGTTTTCGTTAATTGATTAATACATAAATCACTGTTAATTTTCTAGTTTGAATTGTTTTACATTTGTCATTTCGGGGCCGTTTCTCTCTATTATAGTTTCCAAAATAATAGGTAGGAATAAGGAGTCAACTAAAAATTTCTGCCATTTGTTTTGTTTATAGATGTCTAGATAATTATTTATGTTTTCAGGATAATAGGCAAATACGCTTACATAAATTGTGTGTCTAATAGATACAATAAAATGCTCTTCAGGGCACAGCTTAATATGACTGCAGAGGTCGAACTCTGAACAGTTGGGGCAAGTATGGATACAACATTCAAGCTTGATACAGCTCTGAATTTGGATTGTGATTAAGAGCTTTTTTCCTTGCTTGCTTTGTTTGTATAAATGTTTGCTCAAGCATTGTAATTAAGATGGACATCTGCAATCAATAGATGTAGGCTGGGTTTCAGCTTGTATAGCGCATAGGTTTTGGACAGAGAATGAATGTGGTCTAAGAACTTTAAAATTTGAATTTGGACAATTACCTTTTATGATCCAATATCCAAAATCTAAGTACATGGTTAAGATTCTGCATACCGGGTATCATAGAACCCCAAGAATTAAATTTTTGATGAAATCAAACAAAGCTTAATTTTGGATCGTTTGGACCTCAATGTGTACCAATTTGATAAAGGGCCCAAAATCCACACAGTTAGATTCAGCATATCAAAAAAAACCCATACATTCAATTTTTGTTGAACTCAAACAAAGTTTAATTTTAGACCCCGATTTGGACCAACTTGAAAAACTGGGCCAAAGCCACCAAACATCAAAAATTTAAATACATGTCAAGATTCAGCATATCAAAGAACCTCACAAATTCAAGACTTTGAATTAAATCCCATTGAAATTGGTTAAAAATAAGCAATTTATACAAAGAACTGTATTAGAAAAGTTTGTTTTTGGCCCTTTTTTCCTAAATGGTTAGGGCCATAACCCCCAAAATCAATCCCAACCTTCCTTTTATGGTATGGAACCTTGTGGTACAATTTCATAGCAATCCATAGACTTATGCTCAAGTTTTTGTCTGGAAACCAAATTTTTGTTGTACTCCGAGGTTTCCTTGTTGGAACAAAACACTAGTGGTTTCAGAGGTGAAGATTTTTTTTAAAGGTTAAAAAGACAGAGCCAAGTGAAGGCAATAGCTCACATTGCAAATACGGTAAGGTGAGCTTGAAACAAACAAAAGACAGCCAGAGGTTCTCTGGCCTTCAATTGGAATAGGACATTATCTTCAAGGATAGGAAAATAAACAATAGGAACATGTTTCTTTTGTTTTTAGGCAATAAACAATAATGAAATAAGTATTTAACTGAGGTTTATTACAGAAACAAGAATGCTGTAACATAGAAAATACACAGTAAAATTATAGTCCATGAGACATGTCAAAGAACATTTCAGCCATTGCTTAATCTAAATAAAGCACCATAAGAAAATAAAGACCCGCTTAAAATTCATTGTAAATTAACACGTGTATTTTGTACACAAATATTGTGCAACTTAATATTAATGGAAAAAAAAAAACATGAATAAACAAAACAAAATTGAAAGGTGGGAGGATGAACCTAGAATGCTTACTTGAAATTGATTATTTTGTTAGTTAGATAATTGTTTTCAGTTAGGAACGTTTTATCAATATTACAGAATATTATGTAATTTGGAACTTACAAATCCCTTTTTACCAAATTTTCTATTTTATATAAGATTTATATAAATCAAATATTACATTAGAATTTGAAAATACAGATATCAGGAACGATTGCAGTACAAAAATAGCTGTTGGAAAAAAAAGTTCAAAATTCTTTATATGTTTTTAGATAACTTTTTAAAGATTATACAATGAAATAATCTCTTTCACAGTTAAGAAAAGTTGAAATGCTTAGAAGCCAATAAGGATAAATATAGTAAATAATATATACAAATAAAACCTTTAACATTTCTGATTTAGGATTGCTTATAGAAATGCATTCTGAATTAAGTACAGAGTTCATTGTAGGCCAGATTTACACTAATATTTTCAATTTAATTTTATATCTAATATGTATGTGACAATACAATACATACAGAAATATCATATCATACAACATACACATCTGCAAAATAAATTAGCAGAAATAATGTTGACTATAAATTCTGATCTCATTAATTGGTTTAGGTACTTGAAGTTTTAAAATAACCTTCCATTCTAATACTACAGAACTTTCTGTAGTTATTTCAATAAATGTTTTTCCAATGTGTAGATTTTGTTTTAAGGAAAACTTATGACATCCATATCACCCATAGATGACATCATATAAGTAGAAATTGTTTCAAAATAAAAAAAAATTTTGCATCTTTGGAAATAAATACACATATTAAAAGTTTTAAATTGAATTGAAGTCGCATAATAAATGTTAAATAATCATTAAAAATCAAATTACTGATGCAGGTTAGATACACAAAGTAGACTGTCATAGAAAACAAGCTGAAAATTGCTTAATGATGCAAGACAATGATATTACAGTGTATAAAATAAATACAAAGCATGATATAAATAATGTATTGGCAGTGCACGCTATACATTGAATCAGGAATCCCTGAAATTAGCACTATAACACATGGTGAACATGAGGAACGTATACAATAAAGCTAGAAACATAAATAATATGATCAATGGCATAAAATGTTCTCATACATGTCTCCATCTTGTAAGTTAACACATGACACATCTATCTAACTTCCGTCAGTAGGATCTTTATTGTACGTCAATATTTTTGTAGATTTGTAGAACAATAAAAAATAATAAGTAATATCTACTTATTTAATAAAATGTTTGAATATAAAGTTCTCTAAAAAAAAAAATGCAACAGAAACAAAAACAATGCTAAATTTAATTTTGTTGACATTAAAAAGAAAATCATTGGCAACAATTATTTATTGGTAGTAAAATATTTGTTATATACTTAGTAAAATAAAATTAAATCTAGTTGTGGATAAAATCATTTAATTTCCATTTTTGTTCTAAGGCTACTTTGAAATAAAAAATTAAAGGTTCTTTTTCTATTTAACAAAATTAAAAAAAAAATTAAAAATTTTAAGGTTTGAAATTAATTGTTAAAGATTTTTAAAATCGGAAATAAATAGACAAAGCCACATTTAATCTCCTTCAATAATATTTTTTGAACAACGATAATTAATTATAATAATTAGGCACATGATACTCAATTCACATCAATATTTTCTGAAAATTTACATTCATGCACATTATGAGCTACCATACTGTTATTTCTACATCCTAACAGTATGTGACCATTTGATGGAGAACTGACCAAAAATAAATCTATATTCTAGAAAACACTCTAACATCATTTATAAATGTAGGAGCAAAATATTACATCAAACATGTTCATCCTCCTCATTTCATCAGACACATGCACACATTGGAATCACACAATATTACACGTTTATACGATCTGAATCACAATACATTTATAATTTGTACAAACAAGGAGAAGTAATCAGAGGATGGAATGTTATCAAAGAAAATTGTCAGTATAAATAATACCTTGTCCTTTCAAGTATGGTAAGGGCTAAAGACAACGAAGCCTTTAAAAATATAAACAGCTGTGCCAGGAGCACATCATATTGGTATTTAATTTGTTTCAAAAATAAAATGGAATATTTTAGAAGGCATCAAATCAAAAGTCAGGCTCTATCACAATTGCTTAAATTTTGACTGTGCAAGTCCCATAACTCTCAAGGAGCAAATAAAGTTTTCAAAATCAAAAGGGGGCTTGCTTTAACCAAACCTAACAATGGTAAAGCTTGTGGTAGAAATGTGAAACAATACCTTAAATCTAACAGTTATAGTCATATCTCTGATATGACAAATAAGAAATAAATGGGGAATGTGTCCATGGGACACAGATGATGCCTCCACTTGCATGTAATGTTATAAAGGGACATAACTCAAGAACTGTAAAAGTGACACTACCCAAATTTGTACTTGATCCGAGTTTTGTGGTAATAAGCATTGTTTATAAGTTTCATAACACTTAGTTGGGGCAAACTTAAGTTAGAGAACAGAAACGAAAAATTCAGCAATTTTTCCATTTGTAAAGGGGCATAACTCTAGAACGGTCAAAGTGACGCCACCAAAATTTGAACTTGATCTGAGTTTTGTGGTAATTAGCATTGTGCATAAGTTTCAAAACATTTAGTTGAGGCAATCTAAAGTTAGAGAACTGAAACCAATTTTGGGACGTACAGAAGGGCGTACGTACAGACGGACAAGGGTAAAACTTAATGCCCCCTCCGCTATGGCGGGGGCATAAAAATATCACAAAAGCAGAAGGGAACTTACTTTCATCAATTCAGTAAATTGATCCAAGCATACTGAAGGATATGTGAAATTTGTTTAAGAGCTAATGGTTAAAGGCCTGTTACTATGCAATGAAACCAAACAATTCTAAAATCAAAAGGGGTTTTCTTTCATATATTCAAATATTCTATACAAATATGTAATTTGATAGAAGCATTCTCTAACTTTTGTATAATGTGTGGATGGAAACAGTATACATTTATACCATAAAATGTCCCATCTATGATGGATGCATTGAACAGATTACCCCGGTATTTAACTTTATATTAATTGAAATCATAATATTAGTTTCTAGTTGTATACCATCACTGAATTAAGGTGCTTGTGTAAAATGCTTTGCCACAATGTCAGAAATTATCACCCTTATAGCAAAAGAAGTGAAAAAGACATTCAAATATTCAAATAGAATTTTCACTTCGGCAGGACTAGTTTACAAATATATATCTGTATTGTGAGACAAATACACACACAAAAGCTCTTTACAAATAAATATATATCAATGATCTTAGATCCCTTAAAATAAATGTAAAAAATTTGCACCAATTATAAATGGGCAGCTTATACCACATTGCAATTCTTGTGTAGTCCAGTATCTCCTAAGTAATATAACAACAATATTTGACCAGTTTATTTAGACTGAAAATTCTATACAACCAATTAAGTTTTTTGACTTTATAAGGCAGTACTATACTAATTATCATTTTAATATTTAAAAATAAAATTCATTACTTAAAAAGAATCTTAATTTTAAAATCTGCCTTTCAAAAATACTTTGGAGAGTAAGATCATGTAAAATGAGTACTGAGCTGGTCACTCGTAACTTTTTGTTTTTAACCGGATGAAATATTATATATACTCTATATTTTATATTCATATAAACTTTTCTTCAAACATAACACTGGACATTAAAAACAAAAACAATGAAAATGTGATAAGTAAAATATTTCAATTGTAGATTTCATCATAAAAAATTAAATACTAAAATACAAGTTTTCAAATACAATTCTCCAAATTAACATTACATAACAAGAATAATTCTTTTTTCAAAACATAAAATATTTTTAATACAACCAAATTTCTATAAAAAGTGGCATGAAGGGAGCACACAGCTGGCAGCTACATTCAACTGACCAGAAATGATTAAACTTTTAGATTTTTTTTTAAATTCTACTTCTTTATGAACTGAATTACCATATTTTGAAACAGATATATCATTTTGTAATTCATCATCAAAATTTAATCTACAAATATCAATTTTGATTTCAAAATTTAAATAAAAAGTTATTTAGCCAATGAAGTTTTATTAAGTGGTGCTCCTGTATTTGTTTTTGAGACAAAGACTTTATTCGAATCAAAAAGGGGCAAAATGCCATTTTGTAAATATTAACCAGTAGTTAAACCTCTGACAAAGAGGTATAGTAATTGCCAAAACTGATTTGAGGTACAAATGAAGTTATTTGTTGACATCACAGACGGCACAAGAAATGTTGGCAAAGCGTCCTTTGGCGCACACCAACACGATGATAAACTGAACACATCCCATACAAATTTTGTGTACTTTTGATCACAACTAATGAGGTGAAATTGGAGATCATTATTATGCTGTACAGAATCACTGTCTATATTATGTACAAATAGGTGAATGAAGATTGATCCCTTTATGTGACCGGTATGTGATTACGATATGGCGAGGATTTCAGCGGACTTGATGTGAGTGTAATATTCAAGTCATTATCTTGTGAACACACATCAATCTCCCCTGATTCAATGTCAATATGAGTATGATCGCTTTTTAACGTTAAGTCAAGGTCCGAATTTCCTACACCTAAAGGCGAGGGAGAATGTCGGTAGAAAGACTTGGATGGTGTAGAAAAGGCATCGTCACTCGTAACCGAATGCATGGGACTACCAGTCATTGAATCACTGTCATGCAATGATCCAGTACGATTGCTGTCACTAATGTGGCCCTCATCTCCATCAGTTTCCCCTCCTTCATCACCCATCAAATACCTTATACATTTCTTCTTCCGTCTGAAATCAGAATACAAAATGTTATCAACCATTAATATAATTTAAATTTTATCTTTAATGTTAATAATTCAACTGCATGCTCTCTTTTCCCCCTGTGCTCGATTTTTTTCTTTATTTTGTTAACTTAAACAGTTCAAACTAATTACAAGGAAAAAATGTTTCAAAGAAAGTTTCAATTAGTTAATAAATTTGAGACAAAAATATTTAACGTTATGTATTATGCAATTATCAAAGCAAAATTTTATTCCAACACAAAAAAATATTCTGGTATTATATTCTGAATTAAAAATGTGAGGGGTTTCATAAAAGTAGATTTGTAGACGGTTTGTATGATTTCACCATTAAAAGTTTATTTTGAAACTTGTTAAAATTAAAGAAAAGCATCTCTACATATATATTTAAATATACATATAGTATAATTTACTACATATTACAATATATAGCTTAAGCTAAAATCTAGCCAGATAAAGCATATACTATATAGGCTAGGTTCAGGTGTACAAGCTGATAAAAGGTGAAAGATGAACTAATAAGCAGGACTATTACTCTGGCTATCTGTTGTACAAAATATTCTATTTCATCTTTCATTTAGAATGATACAACTGCTTAAGTTTACAGATGAAATGTATAAAATGAACTAGCATTCTACTGCTTATATTCTAATATGCCATTATCACTACAATATCTTAACCATTTGATTTAGGGATATTCAAGTTGTGTTATTTTGTTTCTATTTTGATGTTTTAGTCCAGTGTGTAAAGAAAGATGCCTAACAGCTATCTAAACTACTTAGCCCTCAAGGCCACTTAACTTAAAAAGAGGATCTATAGCATTTTCATTTGAAATGTTGCCACTTAAAAATATGAATAAAGGATGTGAGGATATATCAAAGAGACAGCAGCTTAACAACGTACAAAAAACATAAAATATCTTAAGGTCAACATTCAAATTTAAAAAAAATCAGACTAGTTTATATAGTATTTGTAATTTATGCAACACTATTCCTTAGTTGGGCTTAATTTTTTAATCACCCTTGAATTAAAATGCTAATCATCCGCCATTATTAAAATGTATGATTGGGAACAGTAAGCAGACAACACCAATTTTTTGTGGTCATATATATATAAAGTTCAGCCTTTTAAATTTAACCTTATTTTACTTATTTGAAGTTATTGAAAGTAATACAATATAATAATTTAAGGTAGAATCATTATTGACTTTGTTATCGACATCAAAAACATATAATTGACCATTTCCAACATATGATAAAATATCAGCTATGACATTTGGACAACATAGTTTCAGGTTAAGCCAAGTAAACAGAGCCAGATCAGTAACATATCACAAAAACTTCAAAGATGGTGTATGTAAGTAGAGTAGTAAAACAAAGCCTGTAATTAAATCTATATATATATATATTAACTTCTGAAATAAATTTTACACTGTAAGGTCACTTTGTTTTTGTTTCATGCGACATTTTCTTTTACATTTTTTTTCTCTTCTATTTCAACTAAAGATCATATGCAAAGGTTTTTAAACACAAATACTTTCATAGGTTTTCAGACTGTCCCTTGGTCAAGAAAATAAACTTTATCTTTTCTACATGTGTCACTATTTCCATCTTATGTTAAACATCATATGTACCATTAAGAAATATTATTAGAGGCATAAAATTTAGGAAAAAAACCTGCATTTACATAGTGAAGTAATATTGATGCTTACATCAGTTTAAAGAGACATAAAAAGAAGAATAGCTGTGTCCAATGTATAACATATTCTGTATATTAACATATGGGTGACAAAAGTTGGTAGTACTTAATGTTGTTATATTGTCCAGTCTTGATACATTCATTAAAGACATTTTATATAGACAACAGATGTTCTTAGTAGTAGAACAGTAGAAAAGAATGCCAATACACAGAAGAATGCACATGTTGTAATACTAAGCATACTCCAACTTGCAATTGGAAGTATCAGCAAACAGGGAGTAGGTGCTCACAAAATCCAGAGCCCAGATCCTAACCGATTCGAAAAAATGGGTTAAAAATACCGAAAATTGAATGAGAAAATATAAAAACTGTAGTGAACTGATTTCTTTGAATTTTCAATAAGTAGTAATTCTAAATATGAAGAAAAAAATATTTTGAAAAGTAACTATGTCACTACCATTGCATATGACCTTAAAGTTTGCATTGGTCAGTTTATCTGGATTATTATCTGAAATTAACATGCAATAAAACTTAATTTGGTGTGTATATAAATTCAAAAATACTTTTATCATCTATGTTGAAAACAAAGTGAAAATACAATTGATTAATCCATTAGTCTGATATCCTGCCACCCCTTGCAATAAAATGAAACAAAAAGAGTAACAGTGTAAAATGCTTGTTTCATTGTAAATCAGAAGGGGTGAAAGGGTTTTTATAATGTTTCAAACATTTTTTATGCACATGTTATGCAGGCCTTTATTCTACCTGACTCATACAATCATAGCTGTTAGAACCCTTTCACCCCCCTTTATCCCAAATGGATTTCTATTACAATCCATATGGGGATGAAAGGGTTAATTCATGCTAGGGGATCAATTCAAGCATCTGGCAATTATGAGGTTGAAGCATGTCTAGTGTGTAAATAAAATAAGCAGCAAGCTACAGAGCTTAAACAACCATCTTCACAAGCTTAAAATGGTTGTTGCTCTATTGCCATAGCAACATGCAATTGCTACTTTAATTTTTATTTGACAAAAAACAAAAAAATGCAACTAAAGTAATAAGCAAATAAACAAAAATATGGCAAAAGTATTTCCTGTGAAGATGGAATTTCTCAAAATAAATTCAAGCAATTATGAATTTGCAAACAATATATAATGTTAAGCATTCCGTGGCGTAGCATGCTGACATGGTACCTTATACATAGTGTTATTGTACCTCCGGAGAATTGCTCTGTTTAATGTCAGCAGTCGGATCGGACGTTTGTTCAAGCGAAGATCTGAAAAATAGATAACATGACCCTGCAGAAAAAGTCCAGTGAAGAGATCCATTCAAATGAAGGTCATACAACAGATAAAACACATACTGCCAGTCACTGCAAACAAAATGTTATATTAGTGTTGTAAAACAGAAATATCTGGGACCTGATCCCTGATCCCATGCAAGTGATCACCTCTCTGAAACTAATGTAAAAGTGAAATCTTTCTAATACCTCAGAGAATTCAGCTGTCAAATATTTTCAATTTAAAATTTTAACATTTTTCATAATCATAAAATAAAATGTAAAAATTCACGCAACAAAAAAAATCTCTGAGGAAAGAAAGATGTCACAATTTACATTTCAATAAAGCCTTTTACTTTTCTCAAGAAACCACAAACCCTTCACCAGGAAAAGGGTAACTTACCGACAAGGCTTGCACCACTGATTCTGTTGCTCTACACCATATCGGGCCCTACATTTTTTTGCACTGGAACAATCTGTTACCCACATATCTAAAAATAAGATAGAGAGTTTAAAGAAGAAAAGCTATAAAATGTTCCATAAAAAAATTTTCTTTCAATGTTTGACAATTAAATTTGAGTTGTCTCTCTTATATTAAGTATTCTACAAGCACTTCTTTCAAGCAACAAAATAACAGAATTAGCTGAGTATGACGACATAAATATCATGGTCAATATAAACTCCTGACAACATTAATCTTACCTTGAGGAGAATAACTTTCCTGTCCATCCTTTGGCCACATCAATTTCATTTTATGACTTATGGGCGAGCAGCCTAAATTTGAAAAAAATCAAATTTTACTGCACAATGTTTAATACTGTATTTCAATTCTTGGGAGATTTTGATCTTCGTTCCCATAAGGCAATTAAATGAAATTAATGTGGCTTAGATTTATATAATTATTTAGATGAAAAGTTCAGAATTAGTTAAGAATAGAAAAGAATAAGATACAGTATTAAGTTATATATATCTAATATACATACACAACAGAAAATATTAAAACATTATTTAAGGTGTTTGAAGTTTTCTTTTTGGTAATGTATTTTAATTTGTTCTTACATACTGTAAATTCAGAAATGATATTTTAACATTACCAATCAAAATTCATGATTAATTATTGAGATTTCAGGAAAAGCTACATACAGATATAAGTACCAGATATCAGATTGTGACTTCTTATTATTGTGATAATAACCCAGTCGTATTTTTCAAATTAATAAAAACCTTGCAGTAATTTCTGAATTTACAGTATTCTTTATACCACACTAACTTGATATTAAGTATTAAAGAAAACAAATTAAAATCAGTGCAGATGAGCGTATACTCAAGTTAACATAATAATGAGGCATATCTTACTAGATGTTTTAAAGAATATATCTGGATTTTTTAGGAAATTCACAAGAACTGAAAATGTAATAATTCAGTATTCTTCTCCTCCTTTGGACTAAATGTATAAAATGAATTAATGGTCTTGGAAACAAAATTATTGTTCTCAAGATTACAGTAACAATTAACTAATCTCCTTTCTTATATTCGCACAATCATTGAGAGTGGGGTAAAGTGTAAACAACAACATTTATAAGGACTATTCCTATTCTTAGTGTGTAAAACTAACAAATTCTAAACATTAATGTTTCCGTGTGCATTAAAACTCATAGATCATTATAGAGAATGAGAAACTGTAATAGACAATATGTGTAGAACAAATATCTTATTTAGCATTTCAACAGTTTCTGTATATGAAGGTGCAAAAACTGGTGAAAATAGTCCACTACCACAACAGTGTCGGACATAAAAACATATATACCTTTGTTTTCTCCACCATGGATATCCTTCTTTTTTCGTTTCTTTTTTGTATGAACTGCGTAGTTGTCTCGAGCACTCCAACCAGGATAAAGCTGCAGATGAAGTTCCTTTTCTTTCCGTGCCATTTCATAATATTTGGCTTGTTCAGATCTATCTAAGGCATGCCACTGAAACAGACATTATAATAACTCTCAAATCTGACAGCAATGTAACAGCCAAAATTGATTTAGAATTAAATCAGGACCAATCATAAAAAATACAATATTCTTTTGTTTTTACTGGCAGTAATCATAATTGCAAAAATACAAAATTTTGTGTCAACAGACACATGGGAGGACATTAGTAGATCTTCTGTACTCCATCAACAATATTCTGTTATAATTACACATTGTTGCATTAATGGGACCCATTTGGCCTATTTTTTCACTTCAATTTTAACTTTAATGTTTACTTTTCATGAATATTTAAATGTTGAGGTATTACAAAGAAAAAAATATGTAGCTTAGGATCCATTGCCGTTATGAGCTCATGAAAAAAAAACACTTCTACCTATCTTTATGAAAAATGCATAGATTTTATTCAATTTTCCAATGTTTTTCTTTTAACCCCCAACCATCAAGCACATGCTAGTATCAACTTAAAATTTACCACTTTATTTGTCTATATGAGCAACAGCACTCATGTCAATATCTAGTCCATACTTGCATGAACTTGAAATATCTCACAAGCAACTATTTGTCAAAATTAATCTATCACTTTTCATTTTTGTAGAAAGATGTTTTTTATTAACCTACTGTATTCTATGTTTGTGTGCAAAATCTCATTGAATGTTTATAATATTTTGGTCCACAGAAAATGTGAAGAACAATTAATCGAACTCAAATACTTGTAAACCTCTTTTTTCTTTATCACATTAAACCCATATATAAATATCAGTGTCCTATAATGACAATTTGATATGAAAAAGTGACTTCTTCTACACTTTGGCCTATTTATCTATAAATTAAAAACATGTCAACAAAACCTGTTGTCTCCACAGATGAGAAAGTTTTTATGAATTCATAGAACACTTGTGTTAAGTTTTTCACAGTAAATTAAACATGCTTCTAAAGATAATATAAAACAACAACATAATTTTACACAGCTTTTGAAAAATATACTGCCACCAAAATTATTTGTTCTGAAAAATTACAGAAAAAATACTGGACGTGCTTTCAGTATGTTCCTCCCAACCTTAAATTAATATACTGCCACCAAAATTATTTGTTCTGAAAAATTACAGAAAAAATACTGGACGTGCTTTCAGTATGTTCCTCCCAACCTTAAATTAATATACTGCCACCAAAATTATTTGTTCTGAAAAATTACAGAAAAAATACTGGACGTGCTTTCAGTATGTTCCTCCCAACCTTAAATTAATATACTGCCACCAAAATTATTTGTTCTGAAAAATTACAGAAAAAATACTGGACGTGCTTTCAGTATGTTCCTCCCAACCTTAAATTAATATACTGCCACCAAAATTATTTGTTCTGAAAAATTACAGAAAAAATACTGGACGTGCTTTCAGTATGTTCCTCCCAACCTTAAATTAATATACTGCCACCAAAATTATTTGTTGTGAAAAATTACAGAAAAAATACTGGAAGTTCTTTCAGTATGTTCCTTCCAACCTTAAATTTTGGTTCATAGCTGCCGATTCTATTAATGTACACTTTTTCACAACCATTTGCCTTTCCTCTTTCATAAATAACATAAATGCATTTGACATTTTAACATAATATTTTTTTCTTCTGCGATTCTTGCTGTGGGCAGTCCTTATGATAATCCCTAATAAAGGAAGACCAAGACATTATCATTAGTTGTAATTCTACTTCATCCTTACCTTTCTACCTAAAATTTGGTTAATTGCTGCCGATTCTTTTAAAGTACATTCTGCTACAACCTTTGCCCTTTGTTCTTTCATAAATAACATAAAGGCATTTAAAGGTTTTTTAATATGATTTTTTTTCTTCTGGGCTGCGGTTTCTTCTGGTGGGCCTTGATCGTGCATATTCCTAATAAGAGATAAAAATACAATATTTTAGTTCCTTAAAATATACTTCAATTGACCGCAAACAGGAAGGTAGATTTCTCATAGTGCATCAGGCTATTTTTATTTCACTCTTTTTACAAAACTTTAGTTTGTATCATACTTTATCCTGATGAAATAAATACTTCTTACTATTTTTTTTTTATTTAAAGTCCTGTTTCTGGCTGAACTTTTTAAAATGCAAAACTCGTTGGGTTATTTCGTTGGATTTTTCTTTCTTTCAAAATTAATCCAAAATACATGGTTTATATTGATTTTGGATGTCTTATTGTGAAAATAAAAAAAGGCTGTCAAATCAACAACATTCTTCCTACAAGGTATTACAACTATTATTCCTTAAGATGATTCTTTTTATTGAAAACTTGAATCTTAATACTGATCATCTCTATAAAATTATTCTCTCTGATTGGAAAGCATCCTTGTATTCTGATAAATCTTCATTAACCTAGGATATGGAACATTTCACAACAATAGCAGTATTTTACTATTTCAATTTACAATTTCTGTATTTGTATATCCTAACACTAAAAGAAGCTTTTCAACATCATAAGACTTTTTCAAATTCAAATATATTAGTTCTCAAGGGATAGAGATCTAAAACTGACCGAAGTATGGGCATCATTCAAAGTAAGCCACTTTCTTGCACAAAAAAACATGTGTAATCCATGAACTATTGTGAAAATGCTTTTGTTTAGAATTTGAAAATCCTGTTTAGAATTTGAAAATCAATGAGAATTTATTTAAATGTCAAGAAAAAGTTTTATGAACTTCTGTAGGAAATTTCTATAAATGTCAGCTGATATCAGGGTTAATAACCACTGAAACCAGGACAAATCTGGTTCAATGTACATATCAGGAGAGATTTTTACTTATTTTTTGTGTGTTTTGTAATAGAAAAGCAGAAAGTTAAACAGTGTCAATTTATTGCCATATATCATAACATAGTAAATCATTAAAAAAAAATGTGGATAGTGTCCACATGTGGACACAGATGATGCCCCCGCTTGCATATCATATAGTTATAAAGGGACATAACTGAAGAACGGTAAAAGTGACACTACCCAAATTTGAACTTGATCTGAGTTTTGTGGTAATAAGCATTGTGTGTAAGTCTCATAACATTTGGTTGAGGCTAACTTAAGTAGAGAACAGAAACTAAAAATTCAGCAATTTCTCTATTTGTAATGATGCATAACTCTAGAACGGTTGTGTATAAGTTTTACAACATTTGGATGAGACAAACTAAAAAATTCAGCAATTTTTATGTTTATAATGGGACATAACTCTAGAATGGTAAAAGTGTTGCCACCTAATTTCGTACTTAATCTGTATTATGTAGTAATTAGCATTGTGTATAAGTTTCATAACATTTGGTTGAGGCAAACTCAAGTTAGAGAACTGAAACAAAAAAAATGTACTTGATCTTTACTGAGTTTTGTTGGAATGAATATTGTGTATAGGTTTCACAATCTTTGGCTGGGGAAAACTTCAGTTACAGAATGGAAACTAAAAAATTTTACAATCTTTCTATTTATAAAGGGGCATAACTCAATAATGGTTAAAGTGACACTACCCAAATTCAACTTGATCTGTGTTTTATCAGTGGTAGTCAAAATTAAACATTGCATTGTATAAAGCATTGATTGTAGTTGATTCAACTATAATCATGGTCAAAGGAAGATAACTCCAATTTTAAAAATATATTATATAAACTTGATATTTAGAAGAAAATAAAAATTTTGCAATTTTTCCTTTTATAAAGGGGCATAACTCTAGATCGGTTAAAGTGACACCACCAAAATTCAAACTTGATCTGTGTTTTGTGGTAATAAGCATTGTGTATAAGTTTCATAACATTTGGTTGAGGCAAACTTAAGTTAGAGAACGGAAACTAAAAATTATGCAATATTTCCTTTTATAAAGGGGCATAACTCTAGATCGGTTAAAGTGACGCCACCAAAATTCAAACTTGATCTGTGTTTTGTGGTAATAAGCATTGTGTATAAGTTTCATTACATTTGGTTGAGGCAAACTCAAGTTAGAGAACGGAAACCAATTTCGGGACGTACGTACGTACGTACGTACGTACAGACGGACAAGGGTAAAACTTAATGCCCCCTCCGGTACGGCGGAGGCATAAAAAAACATAGAACACATGGGTACTGCCCAAACCTTGTAGTACCTATTAGATTCTTTCCATTCATAAATCATGTTCAATTATTTGTTCAAGGAAAATATTTTCACCAATTCTTTAAATGTATGAGAACCTTTCTTTTTTTTTCTCTCTTTCTTTTTTTTTATCAATAGTATAATAACAATAATGTCCTTAATTTTAAAACTCTATTCTATGTGAACCATAATAAAAGCTAAACATTTATTTCATTCATTATACAATGATTCTTTCCGTGTACTTACATGTATATAAAACAATTATTTGAACATAAAAGCATGTATATGATTTAAACGACAGTGACACTTGTCACACCTCCCATTAAAAATGTAAATATCATGTTCTGACACATGTTAATTGGTCTGATCACAAAAACATGATTAACAATAAGAAGTTTGTCTTTAATTTTGTCAAAACAAATTTTGGAAGTTGCTGTTCTGCTGACATTAAACATTTCTCCTTCCTTCAGATGCAAGTGTGGTGTTAAATACGAAATTCAGCAAACAGGAAAAACCCAAAGTAATTCTATAATTTTTGTTTCTCCCAAATTCAGATTTCAAATCAAATTACAGTCTGCATTATTCAAAAGTGAATTAAATTTTTCAGTTTATATCTGCATACATTCTTTAATAATTACTCCATGAAAACTTATTTCAAATTTACGAATTGACAGTTGATCTAGCCATAAACAATTATGTCTAGGCATTGTCATTCAGGATACATTACCTATGATTATCTTGTGGCTCCTGTTTTGGTCCGGGTGACATTAAGGCTGGATGAGGCATGCCTGGATGATGTAAACCATGATGAGGATGAAATAGTCCTGGTGGACCAAATCTAAATGATGAACTAGATAATGAGGGTGGGTAAGGCCCAGAAAAGGCACCTGAGGTAATAGGATACCCTGGAGGTCTTTGCCTGAAAAAAAAAATATGATTCTGTTAATATGTGCTTTCCTATTCCTTGCTATAGAATCTCCAGTGTATAACCCTAGCAATGAAGGGTCACAAGAAGTTTTCTATCAATTTTGTATGTACAACAGTTCTGGCAATTTTATCTGTACAATTTAAAAATTCTCCATATGATATCCTAATGTAGAAAGCAAGAATGCATGAGATTGAACTGTTGACTTCATTTTTCTAGAGCACTTATCACAAAATATTTTACAACCAAAACTGATCAAAAGTTCTGCCAAAATTTTTATGACTTAAAAGGAATCATTATTGAACTTTTTTTACTTCTGGATACACAAAACTATTAAAAAAAATAGCAAACACTTCAGATTTCAGATGGTTAGTTTAATTTGTTATTTTGATGTCTGAATGTTTATTTATGAAAGAATGGTTATGAAACAAAGGTGCCTTTGCATGAAAATGTAATCATTTCATTTCATAATTGAGGAAAACAAATTCATTTATCTATGTAAAGAAAACAATGAACTTTACTAGACATCTATTAGTCAAAACTGTAATTTTCACCACAGAAGAGTAATAACACTGTAGACTTTTCACATAATATAGTAAACCAATAAAAAAACCACAATGACATTTAACACATGAATACTGCCCAAACCTTGTACAGGTTTGGGTACAACCACCCGCCAAATGGGGAACTATTCCCCAAATGAGTAACAATCCCTCATTTGAGTATAAATCATTTGATAGTGCTAAAAACAAAAATGTTCTTAACTGAGTTTTTTTACTTAAAATGGCATATATTCATAAAAAATACAGCAAATTTTCCAAAAGATGAATAGCCCTAACCTGATTTACTGAGAACTTACAAGCCTATGAAAACTTCGAAAAAATTGACTATTTCAAAGGCTACTTCAAAGGCTACTAACTTTTTAAAATATGGTTCTTTGGAAGGAGTTGTTACATTTTCTATAAATTTGTGCCATTTTAAGTAAAAAGACCCAGTTAAGAATATTTCATTTTTAGCACTATCAAATGATTACTCAAATGAGGGATTGTTACTCATTTGGGGAATAGTTCCCCATTTGGCAGGTTGTACCGCTGTTGTAGTACCTGATATAAATAAGAAAATGTGGTATGAGTGCCAATGAGACAACTCTCCATCTAAGTCACAATGTATAAAAAGTTAACTAGTTGTCTCAGGTAGTACCTATCAAATTGTATGATCCTTCTTTCCATTCATAAATCATGTTCAATTATTTGTTCAAGAAAAGTGCTTTCACTTATTCTTTGAATATATGAGAACCTTTTTTATTTATTTTTTGGCAAATTCCAAAATTAACCATTTCATGTCATAATTGAGGAAAACAAATATGCATTTATCTATGTAAAGAAACAAAGAACTTTACTAGACATCTATTAGTCAAAACTGAAATTTCACCACAGAAGAGCAATGTAGATTTTTCACTAAATGTCTTTTTTATGACAAATGTCTGAAAATTTCAGTTGTCATGACTATATATTTTGAAGGAAAATGAAAAACAACTACATTTAAATTTTTTTTCTTTCAAAATGCACATTTTCTTCATATATGGTTTGAAGATGTGTAGATTTTCTGCAGTAATTCAAAGTGATAGTTTTACTGAAAACATTAAAAATGAAATGTATTTTTCATGTTTGACAAAACATTACAAACACAGCTCAGGTTATTTTGACCAGTTGAATACTACAAATCTAACACTTGGCTCATATCTATTTTATCAACAGCAATCATAAAATTCCGTTTTCTTCTTTTTTTCTACATCATTATATCATCCTGCTGTTTTAGAATTATTTGAACTGCTATAAATCTTCCACAACAATCATTATCAAATGCATTTACTCCCATTTAAAATGCAACAGTAACAGCCCACAATAGCCATTAAAAGAATCTTCAACTCTTTCAGTGCAATAAAAAACATAAAATTCTCATTTACAAGAAGCCAATATAGGACTTGTACCATGCATACTTCAAAATAATAAGTGCCCTCTGAACTTTAGCATCATAATCCGTTTTATGGTCCATAAAAACATCAGATTTCCACTTGTCTACAATAAACCCAGCTAATGATCATTGAATGGTAGGCTGGACATTAGATTATGACACTGCTATCCCATAATTCCCCATTTTATAATCGTTTTATTACTGTGTAATAGCCAATATAACTCTCGTCATAATTGGCCAAATAAACTGGTGGTTTAGGTCAAAACAGCAAATTTACTGTTTTTAATGAACAATTTTCAGCACAAGTGTGTTACTATAATCCTGTAAATACACAGCTGATAATTAATAGTTAATTAAATTGTCTTTTCTTATCTGGGAGCCATTGTAACAAAATCATGGAAAACTGAAACTTCCTAAATTTTTGCCAGATTTAGGACTTAATTTCAAATATTTATTACTACCCATAAGTCAGACTATATCTTATATAAAATACTAATAACTGAAACTTCAATGGTTTTAAATCCAGATTTTTTTTACTATATTTCATAAATGCTACCACTTGACTGAAACTTCCCTGGTTTTGCCAGATTTTGGACTTTTACTTTTATAAACAGAATTATAAAATTTATACTTACAGGAGTGAAACTTCACCGTTTTTTTTTACCAGATTTTGGACTATATTTTATGTACTGTTGAAATGTGTCATCCATATGGGCTTTGAAAAACTAACCACCTTGAAATTATGGCTACCAATGACTGTAATAACTTAAAACAGACCAGAAACTATCAGATCCAGGGTTTGGGTACACAAGACTTTAACTACTTACCATTGCACTGGTATGTCTGGTCCATAAAGACTAGGAGGAAACTGACCAGATCCAGGATATGGGTACACAGGGGGTCTGGGTAAACCTGAAAATATAAATTTCTCATGAATGTTTCTCCATGATGTATTAACTGAAATGTTACGGAATGGATATTATTCATGATTTACATTTTTACTTCCAGAAGATTTTCTACTACTCCATTGTTTTAATGGTATTTCTTTTATTCTTATCTTTTATATTATAAAAAATACTGCATTATCTGTTTTTTTTAAATAGGACTTTTAATTGGTCTTAACTTCCACTGGAGTAATCAGTAACCTTCTTGCATAATATTGATTTGGAGAAAAGAAAGGATATAATTAAGACAAGGATATCTGATCACCATTTCTAGTAAAGAGTTTTGAAATTCAATATTTAAACTATAAAAATGTTCAATGTGCCAAATTTTTCAAAACATAATACAATGAATAAATGATGTTTCTGTAATTCATAGCTGATAATTAATGTGTGGTTCGTGTTATCACAATTCTTCATTGGTAAAAAAAAAATTCAATTTATAAAGTCAAATTTTATTGCTTTCCCCTGAATTTGCTATTGTGACTTCATGAAAAAGGCTACCATGCCTGATGATGTTAAATAAAAAGAACACATCTTTTTGCAGATCATTGGAAAGAAACATAAGAGAAACAAATTTAACCACCTAATCTTGTTCAATATGATATTTCTCCACTCTCAGCAAGCCTCATGTTTCAAATACAAATTTTCAACTGTCTCCAGTGTAGAAATAACACATCATACTTGATGGAGTGGTAAATCTATATTTATTTACATCTACGATTTTTAATTTTAGGTCCAATATTATGAGATCTCATCATAAAAATAATTTGTTAGCATTCATTTTGTACTCCCCCAAAGTATAATCATTCATCTTTTATCATATTTGGTTGTACATGTATATGTAGGAAGAAACCACAGGGCTGAACTCCAAATTTTCATATAATGACAAATTTTGATTTTATTGCTTTTAATCTTACTTTAATGGTCTCACTATCAATTATAGCAATATAGACATTGATATTTTTTGCCTATTTCTTTATTTTACCAAACTTGTGAAATTGTTTATGGAGGAAAATATTGTTGTTTACTAAATTGTCTGCAAGTTATAATTACAAACCAAGTAATAATTGAGATTAAGAAATGAGCTACCTAAAATTCAATAAAAAAATAAATGGAGGATGAATGTGTCCAGGGGACACAGATGATGCCCCGCTTGCATAAAACGTAATAAAGGGACATAACTAGAGAACTGTATAAGTGATGCTACCCAAATTCGAACTTGATCTGTGTTTTATGGAAATAAGCATTGAGTATAAGTTTCATAACATTTGGTCAAGGGAAACTAAGGTCAGAGCTATGGCGGAGGCATAAAAATTGTCATTGTCTTTCCAAATTTTGCAATTCAAATTTTAAAATTTTCTCCCATCTGAATACCAAAAAGCAGTGGGAGACAAAGAATTACCTGTGATTCTGAATTCTTGATTGGAAAAATATGACACGTTGATAAATCTCATTAAAATAATGGATTCAGTTCATCAAATTACAATAAAACACTTTGTTATTTGTGCAATAAGATATACACAAGCTTGTGGATAAAAAAGATATTTTGAAATGAAAAGAAATTTGACCACAATTATTATTCCTGAATGATGATCAGGTTATAATGGTGCGTCATTACTGATCTGCAGACAGCTAGAAGTACCGGTATATTGATATTCAGTTAAACTGAAGTTGGCTTCCATTTCCACATTAATAATGGAATTTCAATAAATTTTTGCAATCTGTTGTAAATATATTAATGTAAATTGACATAATGAAAAATACAAAATTTAAAATTTTATCATAATTTCTGATCAATTGCACCATAAAGGTTTTCAATGAATAAATGGAAATGTTGGGTTTATGTCAATGAGACAGCAACCCAAAAAACAAAAAATAACCGAAAGACATTCAGACAACATAGTCTTAGATAATATACATGTAAAAGCTTTATGGCCCATTGTCAATATCAAAGTTTTCAAGGTCAAATTTTTTGATGGATTTTTTTTATAGTGGCAACATTCAAAGAAAACTTTGATCAAAAACTTTGACAGACTTTGATGGAAAAGAATCTCATCTTATTTTTCTTGAAACCTGAATGGATTTGGATGGGAATTATCCAATCACAGTGCAGTTTTTTTTCTTTGACCATGTTTTTATAGAAAACTTTGATAGTGACAACAGACTTCTTGGACTAAGTTAAATTTGATAGTGACAACCTGGCTTTAAATCACCCCAAAACCAAATTGTATGACTAATTATATAATCAAATATCTGCTATCAAAACTAAATTCTGACAAAACAAAAAATTAAAGACACTACATTGAACAACCACTATAGGGGCTCCCGACTTGGGAAATACATAGGAAAATGTGGCAGGGTTAAACTAGTTTTTTGATGTTCAGCTAATTATCATTACTGTAAAGTTTTATATTTTCAACATTATATGGATGTTTAAAGATCTTACTAGGTGCCTATGTCTAGCTTGCTTCCAAATACAAACCATTGCTAAATTTCATTTTTAGGCATTGCCTTTTTCATATCTAAATCTGGTAACAGGTGAAAATTTATCCTTAAAAATTGTATTCTTAAAACATTGTGAATTTATTTTTTCAAATACTTTTCTTTTGATACTGCTGGTAGACTGTCAGATTATACATATTTGTCTACGAGACAGAAACCAAGCATATATTTTTACTGTTAAAAGAAAAACTTTGTAATTCCACATGGCATAGTATGGTTTTAACCCAATTGACAAACTACAAAGCATTTATAATTTGTACATAGCTTATCCAATTTCCATTAATTTTCATTGATTTTTTCATTCAAATTACCAACACTGAAAAATTGACAAATTCTATGAAACACCTGTATTGTATAAAATTAAACATTTCCACCAAACCTGTAAAATCTTAATAAAACAATCACATGAATAAACTTACCAGATTTAGGGTCTATATGAACTGGAGGGATGCCCATATGTGCGGGTGGGGGTTGTGCAAAATGCTCATTATTGTACATCATCAATCCCGCCAAAGGCGGCTGAAACTTGCTGCCCTGAAAAATAAAGCAATCCATGAGTATGGTATATGTTTTTTTGTAAATTTCATAATTTTTAATGAAGAAATCTGCAGATGTCATACTTGCCTTTGTAATCAGCATCCTTTTATGCAATAAAAAGTAGGAAGCAAACAGTTGTTAATTGTAATACAATAGGTTTTCCGTATGAACAAGGAACCTACTTGATTTACTGACTCACTTTACTGAATACTTTACTGTTTTCCCTACAGTTCATCCTCTCCTTGTATTATATATTTTTTAAAGCCATATAAATGCAAAAACATATATATTCATGCATTTCTGTTACAAAGATCTGTTTTAACCTATTAAATTTAACGATTGATTCTTTGTTTGTTTCACATTCATTTGCAGATATTTCCTGTCTATTCAGAAATTAGATTATTCACATATCATATATGTAGGTTCACAAAAATTGCTCAACTGTGTTGAAAAGCATTAGAGATTTAGACAGCCACTGGAAAAAGAGAGTATGTGGGGCAAGGTCAAACATTTTGCCTTGCAACAGGCCACCAATGGACCAGCAAATGTTATTTGATGTGCAGAGAGAATTGCACTCTTGCTACTAAGGACATCAAATTTTATTCCCAATGGGCAAGATACAAATTTATGCATCTTGGACAACCTAAAGGATATTCCCTCAGCATGGGTCTTACTGTCTGAAGGGAGAAATCCAGGGAACCATACATCCAATCAACCTTGTGAATCCCCCATCTAAAGAGAAACATGAATATCATTGTATATTATACCCTGCCATGGTACTATACATATATTGTATAAAGTCATTTTAGTGATGGCATCAAATTTAATTCAAATCCGCTTGAAATCATTTCACACACTTCTACAGTGAATAATATATTTATAAAATGAAATTCATTTTAGACAAAAACAAGTAAGGTTTAACTGTAAGCATTTCTAAGACATTCAAGTGTTTTCCTGGTAAATAAACACTTTTATCTTGATATAAAGAAAACCAACGGAAGTTGAAATTAATATGAAAGAAAAAAAAGAAAAGAGTTCTTTCTTTGGTTTTCTCGTCGAAGTTTGCTTCTTGTACTAAGGGGGATAAAGCTTGTCCTTTTCCTGTATAGAAGAGGCTCTTTAGAAATCTTCACAATCAGATAATCTGTTCCTTCATCGTAAAATTAGAAAATCAGTATACTTTACGAAAAAAATATCTGTACTGGCATTTTTTTTCTTATGATTTCATGAAGACACCCCAACTCCTTCCATTTCAAAGAGCTATTCCTTAAAAGGTATACACTTAATCACTGGGTTATGCCAAATATTTTTTTAAATAATTAATTTGTCTCAAGAGATAATTTTGATTTAATTGTAACTCAATTCATACATTTAATTTCAGTTAAAAATGGCTCATTGTAAAAAGGGCCTACAATGAAAATGTTTCAAATGTGTGTGAAATTATTATATGACAAAATGTACAAATCAGTTTAACTGTATGTGAATATATAAAGCAAGGACTAGTCCTTTCGTTTGTCAATTACAAAAAGTGAAGAAGACAGAGGAACTTGCATATAATTCACCTAATTGGTCATTTTCATGCAAATAATTAACGTAATCGGTCATGTTCAAACAACTTCCAGTCTAAAACTTTGGATTGTTCATACAAAATAATTTACAATCTATTACTATTGAAAGCTTACAGCATGTCTGCTTACAAATTCTGTTAGAACAATACTTATACAAGTGTTGTACAATGACAGTGTATAAAACAAAAGAATTAGACGTGTTTCCCTCCTTTGGAAAGCATCATTTCCACTGATCTGAATTCAATGCTTAGAAATAATTGATGAATCCTGTTCTTCATTTTTCTATTCATCTTTTGTTCTTTTTTATCGATTTACTAGGTAGGTATCTAAAATGATGAAACTTAAATCTATAAGTTTTGGATCAAATTGTATTTAATGTTTCGTGTAGTACTGCATGCAACAAGCTGTAATTAATGACAGAGAAATGATGAAAACCCATACAGCCCTTGTAGGTATAAAGCTTCCATTTGTGCTTTAATTGTGACAACATAACTCGATAATTAGAGATTTGTGTTTAACAAGACAAGAAACGTGTCAGAATTGTCATAATCCAAACATGGGGGAAGGTGAATGCGTCCTTTCCTTTCATGATATGTTGTAAAACAAAGGTCTAAATTGACCACCTAAGTGGTTAAATAACTGTGAGATATTAAGTAGAAAGCTAAAATTAGTCTGTAAGCAGTGTTCTTCTCATTATAATGACAGAACTTCTATGTAGCAAACATGAAGATACAATGTCAAAAAAACTTCAATATCACAAGAGTTGTCAGTTTGTTTGGGCCTTGACCCTTTCATTTAATATACTATGTATACACTGACCGCCTATGTTTACAACAATATTGGCCACCAAAGTCGTTAATATGGAAAACATTTTGTCCTTACTACGGAAGACAGGGAATAAAAACCCTTGATTATAGTCATCACTTCCTACTTTCATTCTTTCTCTGATCTGATTATCAGCATTTATGTAAGGCACACAGTGAGAAGAAAAACAATGCTACCTCCAAGATCTATTTCTATCACATTTTCACAACACCCAGGGTTAAAGGGATATGCAGATTCAATGTTTTCTCCAGCACATGATACTAAAGCCTCCATCCTGGATGTACAGCTCTAGTTAGATCGTCCTAATTTGTTTAAATGCTGATTACCATTTGGGCATTCCATATTTTCCCACACCATAGAAAAAAAGTCAGAAAATGCCCTGGGGCTACCACTGTCAAGAACTTATAAAACATATAGTAAACAGAAAATCAATTTTCTGTCATTCAAACTCCATGAAAACCCCTAACACAACTAATCAACAACAAAAAAACCTTGTAGGTGCCCTTGCTTTAAACACTTGCCTCTCTCACTTATCATCTTCCTCAGTCTACTTAAGATATACCCAAGTCCAACCAAGAAGTTCAAGATAATGTCAAAATACCTGGTGGTCTATATGAGAAGCCATGATATCTGATGGTTCAAAAGACTTTCAAGATTCCAGTGGCCCAAAAAGAATACAAATGTCAGCTGGTGTTTTTTGACATCAATATACCTGATGGTCAGAAAACGGAGATACCTAGTGGTTCCTTCAACATCAATATACCTCGCAATCAAAAAGTCAAGATATCTGTGAATTTTTAAGATGTATAAGATCTGACAGTCCATAAGGCCAAGATATCTTATGGTTCCAATAACGTCAGTGTCCCTTGCAGTCCATAAAGAAGTCAAGGACCTGTGGGTATTTATGATGTACAGATACCTCAGCTGTCAATAAGAAACGCCTGGTGGTACAGTTCATTAGGTGGATAAGTTACAAGTTGGTCCATCAGAAGGATTCAATGTATACTGTTGTTTATAATGGACACTAATATACTTGTTCATAGTAAAAATAAGATATCGGTTTGTAATAGCAGTTAAGACATGTGACTCTTTTATAAACATGTCAATTCATTAAAAGGTCCAGCTATTTGCTAGTTCATATTAGATTCAGCTATCTGCTAGTTCATATTAGAAGTTAGATTCAAGTTTATTTTTAACATGTCTGTTTGGATCATAGTCAAGATGTCTGCTAGTTCTTAAAAAGTTTTAAAAAAAAAAGAAGTCAAAATAATAATTCAAAATTATGCCAAAATATTCGTTATGGCAGAAATCTAGAGATTCAAAACTGTTAAACAGATATGAGTAGTAAGACATTATAAACAGCCTACCTGACAACAGTCACAGAAAGACTTTTGGAGAACAACTGGAAGCTGCATGTTCAACCATAAGAAAGACTTTTTCTACTTCCAAGGATGCCAGCAAAAGGCAAAACCACATAAATAAATCTGTTTAATAGAGGATTTTTTTTCCATACTGTCTTGAAACATGTATATTTTTACATTTTTTTGCAATATTGCTTCCTTTCCTGATATAATTAGACATTGATATAGTCTTTTTAATGTCTTGATCTTTTTTCGTCAAATGACAATATCCTTGTTTAAAAATATGATACTTCTGTAACTTGTAAGAAAATATTTTTTATTTCAAGAAGAGCATGATCTTTTTTGTAACACTTAGCCATCTTAGTATTTTTATCTCTTTTTTATGAAATAATTAGCCTGCCTTTAATGGATATCAAAAATATATCTGATAGGAAAAAGATATTAGTATTAAATTTTAATACCTTGTTGGGAGATGTTAATAATAAGAGGTATAAAATAAACATTCATCACAAAATTCAGGTTAAAAAAAATATGGTATTTTGTATTGTTGGTATCTTGCCTAAATGTTTTATTTCATGATGCATTGAAACATTGTTGAAAATAAAATAAAATGAGGTATGAATAATTAAATATGATGGCTTGTGTCACTGTATTTTACTTGATATAATAAATTACTTGTTTGTTCTGGACATACATGGGTTAGGTAAATTTAATATAATCTTTTTTTCATAAAATTTATTACTGTTTCATGTAAAAGTGATATCTCCTTTGAGGGACGTGTCAATATTTTTCACATGATCCAACCATTTGATGCAAAATGTCAAATGTTTGTACTTATTTGTCTACATTTTTTATCAAGAATAAATAAGTTAAAAAATACCACAATTAAATTTTTCTAGCGAATTGATTACAACTCTTTATTAAAATATTTGGACAAAAGGTGAGATTGGGTGTACAGGTAATTATTAATGTTCAAATATTTGATTTACTTTATCTGAAGGGCCATATTCTTTGATATGAGTAAGACAATTCAAATTTTTATACATAGGGAATGTTTATTAAAGTTCACTTGAATATTTTTTGTGGCACTTTAATCGTTTACTTTTATTGATGTTACAAGTCAGCCTCAGTGAGCATGACAAAAATGAAAACTGTTGGCATTTGGATCAGTCTGCATATGTGGATATCAGTATACATACCACACAATATATTGGCGAGAGAAATCTATTTATAGAGCCATATA